GCAGGCCTGGCACGAGCTATTTGGTCGAAAGCTGCGGACACGTCTGGCGCGAGCTAGTTAGTCAAAAGCTGCAAACAGGTCTGGCACGAGATTTTTGGTCGAAAGCTGCAGACACGTCTGGCACGAGCCATTTGGTCAAAAGCTGCAGACAGGTCTGGCACGAGCTATTTGGTCGAAAGCTGCAGACACGTCTGGCACGAGGTATTTGGTCAAAAGCTGCAGACAGGCCTGGCACGAGCTATTTGGTCGAAAGCTGCAGACACGTCTGGCGCGAGCTATTTGGTCAAAAGCTGCAGACAGGTCTGGCGCGAGCTATTTGGTCGAAAGCTGCAGATACGTCTGGCACGAGCAGGTCTGGCACGGCGTGGGCTATTTTGGTCAAAAGCTGCGGACAGGTCTGGCGCGAGCTATTTGGTCAACAGGTCTGGACAAGTTTGGCGCGAGATATTTGGTCAAAAGCTGCAGACAGGTCTGGCACATGGCTACGTTGATCAAGAGCTGCAGACAAGTCTGGCGCGAGCTATTCGGCCCAAAATTGCAAACAAGTCTGGCGTGAGCTGTGTCGTCAAAAGTTGCAGACACGACTGGCGCGAGCTATTCGGCCGAAAGATGCAGACCAGTCTGGCGCGAGCTATGTCGTCAAAAGCTGCAGACAAGTCTGGCGCGAGCTATGTCGTCAAAAGCTGCAGACAAGTCTGGCGCGAGCTATTCGGTCAAAAGCTGCAGACAAGTCTGCCGCGAGCAATATTGCTGTGTGCTCAAGAGCTGCAGACAAGTCTAGCGAGAGCTGCAGAAAGGTCTGGCGCGAGCTACATCGTCAAAGCTGCAGACAAGTCTGGCGAGCTATGTGGTCAAAAGCAGCAGAGAAGTCTGGCGCGATTTGGTCAAAAGCTGCAGTCAAGTCTGGCACGAGCTATTTGGTCAAGAGTTGCAGGCAATGGTGCTTCGGCGTTCGGCTCGTCACTTTGTTGATGCTTTTTGTAGAATGCAGGGGTGTTCGACTTGTCAATACATCCACGGCTTAGCGACCTTCAGCACTGTTTAGAATTCTGGGGTGTTCGGACCTTTCCACCCTTTTCTGCCCGGAATTCTTATCTCAAGATGTGTTAAAGAAAAAGAAGCAATGGCATCAACGCAACTGATGCCCTCATCATATTACGGAAAAAACGACCAAAGCCCCCAAACCCCGAAACCCTGAGAACCCCTGGAACTGTAAACCAAAATCTCAAACCCATAATCCCGACCTCCCTCCCCCCCCCCCAAAAAAAAAACTCAAAAACACCCTAAACCCTAAACCCTAAACGCTAAACCCTAAACCCTCCACCCCGCTACCTTGGGCGTCAGCTCCCCTCCTGGGAACCTTCGGACGCTTTAAAAGGAGAGGGGCCTCCAACGTCTGCTCCGTGGCCTCCAGCTGCGTCTTGGCTTGCACCAAGGCCACCTTCTCGGGGGCGCTTTTTTTAAGGCCCTTAGAGGGCCTCCTAGGGCCTTGCAAGCACTTTTTGTTTCTTTTTTTTGGTTTTTTTGTTTCTTTTTTTGGTTTTTCCTGTTGGGGAGGGGGGGGTGGTTAGAGCAAAGCCCTTTTTCAGGCTCGGGGGGCTTAAGGTCTGCTTTAAAATACGTTCAAAAAAGAAAGATTGGGTTTGAGGGAGTCGAGGGCTTCTCGTTTGAAGTGGTGGAGGGTTTTTGTGCGTCATTCGGGTTTAGGGTCGACCCCCTCCTCTGGTCCCAGGTGCACTTGTCCAGCCTCCTTGACGCACGCTGTCTCATCGGCCACGTCGAGCTGCGACTTGGCTTCATCGAAGGCTGCCTTGGCCTGCGAGTACATTGGGCTCCTCGTCTTTCATGTCAGAAGATGTGTATGTATATGTCTTTGTATATGTATATTTTGATGTGTGTGTGTGTGAATACATATATATATGTATATATACATACATATAGACAGAGAGAGAGAGAGAGAGAGAGAGAGAGAGAGAGAGAGAGAGATTTTGAGAGAGAGCAGGAGACAAGGGTGCAAACTCAGCACGGCCCCCTTTTTGGGTCCCACAGCATTACGTCGGCTTGGGTGAGGAGTGGCGACAGCGCGACTTTGCTATTCATGGCCAAACACGATGCTATGCCAACAACCACCAGCTGGTCCGTGTTCCTGATGTTCCGCTTGAAGCGGCACATGCGGGGGGCTGCTCCTGTTCTAGAGCCGCGTCCCCCTTTTTAGGGGAAAGGTAGTGGGCCCTTCTCATAAGGGATTCGACTGCAACGTAAGAGGCATCTAGAAGGGGACCCCAACTCGGAACAGTGCCCTCCCCCCGCTGCACCGCCAGCCCTGGAGCTGATGGCTGCCGCAAGGGCATAGCCGTGGGGGCGCACTCAACAGGCAATGCTCACCGGCCACCCCAACAAACAGCACTCGTGACTGCGTGGGACCTTTTTGGGGGAGTTCGGGCCGACCCTTGGCAGGGAGGCGCTCGGGGCGACGCGAAGCGCGCCGTCGGATTGGGGGGGTGGGGGGGACTCAAACCGCTGAAGCCGCTGAACTGTCCTGAAACCCTTGGACCCGTGTAGACGTCGAACTTCCTCAAGATTTCATCCAGTTTTCTCGTGCAAAAGGACTGTTCTTTCCTTTTTGCTCGCCAGGGCCTGGCCTGGCTGCGAGAAGCAGAACATGCGAATGCGTGTCAACAGCGCAGCAAACGATCAGCTTGGGCATCAGTCGGGCACTGTGGTCGTCTCTCCGCTTGTCTTCTAATGTTGACTTCGCATTAATAACCCCCCCCCCCTTGATTGATCAATCTCTCCGGCCAGGGCCTCCTCAATTATATTCGCCTAAATCCTGGTAGGTCTAGCTGTCCCGGTGCCACCACAGTGGGCTAAGTGAGCCTCTACTGCGAGCCTCTGGGGGATCACTTTTAGAAAATATTCCGGGCTGGATTTTATAATTGCGGGGGTTACATTATTGTGTTCCGGCAGCTGGATTTTATAATTGTAGCGGGAATCATTAATGTGAAGTCAACATTAAGTGCTTCTTGCTCCCTCAAGAGCTCCCCAACTCGGCACAGGTAAGGTACACTAAAAATCAATCTGATCTTCTCGCCACTATGCTCAACATTGACTGATGCCATGCAAGCTTCATCAGTGCTGGAATGCTGGCTGCACCGCCATTCTGAAGCAGCGAGGCTTGCACACCGGATCTAAGACCTTGTCGAAGAGCTTATTTCTACAGTAGGCTTTGTACATGTGGCTGCGGCCGCTTGCAAGGAAGGCAAGGTATTCATCGATCTTGTCACATTGCACGGAAGCGAGATTCGCCCCGAAAGCGGCAGCAGCCCAGAAGCGGACATCGGCTAGAGCAGCTCCTTCTTTATGAAGCCCTTCTCTGCCATGAGCTCCTCCCACAGACAAGCTCTTGAGTTCAAGTGCCCATCTTCCCAACACAGGATCCCACGAGCCTGCAATCCTGCCAATGAGTACTCACTCATGTCAAACCTGACCCGGCTGCAGCTGCTGCAAGGGCATCTGCAAGCGAAACGACTGAAGGAGATCGAAAGTGTCAAGACCTCATGTCGGGTCTGCTGCTGGGCGGCGACTCTTTCTCGTTGCCATCTTCATCAAAGGTGTAGAACACTGGCGGGTGGTGCGGCACAAAGTTGAGCCTGAAAATCGGGCCACTTGCTTCTTATTATTCTTAGTACTGCTATTGTTCTTGTTCATATTGGTACGAATATTTGTATTCTTATTCTTATTATCTTTATCATTGCTTCTATTACGTATACACGAGCATCCAGCGCGTTTACTGAGCAGCAGTGGACAGTGATGGAAAATGGGCCATCAGCCAGGGTGCCGAAGCCCAACATAGGAGTCAGCATTGCCAGGCCCAAGGACGAACTTGCGAACCTGCACACCAAACTACCCCTGAACCTTAAGCCCTAAACCCTAAAATCATTATAACAACGGAAAAAACACACACACACACACACAAAGAAATAAAGATAAACAAATAAAAACTCACCACCTTCGCCCCTCGCACCTCAGGCAGCTGGTTCAAGCGTCAGCCGCTGCAGGTGCGAATCTCGCCCTTGTACTTTTTGGCCTCCTTGCCTTAGGACTTCAAGCAGGATTAGGGCCTCCTTTTTGGGAGGTTACCTTACATGGGTGCAGATGCTTGAGCTTCCCAAGATCTGCCATCCAGGTCAGCCCAGAAACGCTTGAAGCCCTTGGCAGCCATAAGGTCGTGTATCTGCTGCAAGTTGTAGCGACCCAGGTCCAGTCGCTCCTGCTCTTCTCCGTGCCTGCCACATCCCACGGCACAGGGGGCAAATGGTCAGTTCTTCAAAGTCGGGCGTCCCTTCTGAAAGCCACAGCTTGGCGCGGTGCTCGTTGAAGAACACGAGGTCGGGGTTGTGATGCGGGATGAAGTTCACCTTGCGACGGCAGCTTAAGCGGATCTCTTTACCATCTCAGTTGCGTGAGAAACCCGGCCTTCAGCCCCACGTAGGTGTCAGCGTGGCCGGGCTCCTTGATGAAGCGCCGCGCCTCCACACCATGGTGGGAGCAACATTGAGAGAAGAGTCATGCGCTTGTGCCACAGGGGCTGCACGCTGCTAGAAGCCAACTGCACTTCAACAGCCACGGCTGTAGCCCACTGGCCCCATCCACTACTACTACTACTACTACTACTACTACTACTACTACTACTACTACTACTACTACTACTACTACTACTACTACTACTACTACTACTACTACTACTACTACTACTACTACTACTACTACTACTACTACTACTGTGCCTCAGGAAGTTGATTCAAGCGTCAGCCGGAGCAGCTCCTTAGCCGGAGAAGGCCCCCCTAGAAGAAGCCACCACGAAAAGAGAGCTCCGAGGAGTCAAGGAGTCCCCCACTGGCGCTCTAAAGCAATGGACGTCAACACCTCTTCGTCGGATGGTGTCTTCGCTGCTCCGAGAAAAAACAGACGAAAAACCTAAACCCTCCCCCCGTATGTATAAACCCCAAACCCTAAACCCAAGCACGCATAGCCCCTGAACCCTAACCCTAAACATCCCTAAACCCTAAACCGAAACCCTAAACTCAAGAACCCCAAACATCCATAAACCCTAAACCCAAGCACCCCAAACATCCGAACCCTGAACCCCAAACCATCTGAGCTCCCACTGAGCTCCCCGGCTGGATCTCAGCGCTTGAGGCTCCTCCAATGGCGCCAGGTGTGGAGTCATGTTCGGCGGCCTTGCGGTACTTGGAAGGCTTGGGTAGCACTTCGCGGCATTTGGGGTTTAGGTTGTAGGGTTTACTGTGGTTCCAAGGGCAGTTCGGGGCTTCTTGGGGGGGGATGTGTAGGGGAGACCCTGCGATGGCATTTAGAGGGTACTGAGTCGTTTAGGAGCTTTGCTTGGGGTAAGTGTAGTTCTGGGTACCTCAAGGGCTCGAGGGGTTCGGAGGCTCAGGATTTCGGGTTTTGAGGGGGGGGGGGGGGGGGTCCAGAGGCGTCCATTGGACGCAGCTGCTTCGTGCAACACCGGGCTGGGAAGCTCATGAGCAGCACAAATCCACAAACCTGACAACCCCAACCCTGAACCCTAAACCCTAAACCCTAAGCCCTTCAACACTCAAAGCCTCCAAGCCCACGGCCTCCAGGCGCATGTCGAGGAATTGCACCAGATGGTCGGACTTCCAGTCTGCCCAGAGCTGAGGCGAATGGGGATGTGTATGGATATGTTGTAAAGGAGAGGGGAAGACTAGTACCTGGGCGAGTCTGGGTTTCCCCTCCACCATCCTGCTTTGGTCTAGGCCCGTTTTGCGCTCTGTTCTCCAGGACACCTTTGTAGAACACAAGCCAGCAGAGCAGCTACTGTGCGTGGCAGCCGTTTTGCCGTTGTTTTCCTTCCTCTTGCTTGGTAGTCCGTAGTTTCACCCACAGGGCCCAGGGTCTCAAGAGCGAATGGGAGGATTGCCCTATTACATCCCAGAAGTCTATGACAAGGAGGTAGGCTCTGGCTGGGGTGTGGGGCTTTGGGGGGAGACCGCGTTCACGTGGGAGCAGTTTCTGGCAACAACTCTTTGCCGTGCATTGCGGCACCATTCAACGACCGCGTTTCAGCGCAAGAATGCAGATCAATGGCTGCCTGTGCCGGCACCATGTCTCGTAAAAAATGCATGCTCATCATGTTGGAAATGTTCTAAAAGGCTCGGTGCCCGAATAGACCCTACCGGAAACAGTGCCTATAAGTAAAGCCAAGTCGAACCTTTGCTACCTTTCTTGAAGGTACTGATGACTCATAACATCTCACTCCCTGCGTAGGACCAAGCGTAGGACCAACGACCCGCGTGCCTGCCTTTGACGTCTGCACGCAGCACTCTTCCTGACCCGTCATTGGTCTCCAGCTCGATCGCCGGCCAGGAGCCGGCTTGATAATCCACCTGAAGGGTTTGGGGCTCAAGGTGAGCTTTTTGGGCGTCGGGTCCGCAACGGGCTTGCAAGAGCTTTACAAGACTCCGTCAAACTGTGCTGCAGACAGCCCCCAAGCTCCGCCGCAACAGCATGCGTGTGAGTGCCAACGAGGTATCAGCGCAGCTCCTCTGCCTCTAGGTTTCGAATGCGCGGTGCTTTTCTCTTGATGAAGTCGTGGAGGTCCTGCCAGACAGAGAGACCTTTGCCTCTTTTGGAGGTGTTGGCACGGCGCAGGGTCCTGATCTCGTTCCTGCTGCGAGGCATCGGCAATCAGCCTGGCCTGTACCAGAAGAGATGCCAGAACGGCACAATCTGGGAGTCACATCCTGCCTTTGGGAACAGCTCTAGTACCGGCTCCTGCGGGTCTCTTTTGCCATTGCTGAAGCTGCGGAGTCGTGACATATCATCACTACTCTCCTCCTCACAGCATGCGAGGCACTGTCCAGCGAGGGTCTTGGAATCCACGCCGGTTTCTTCGAGCCTGGGCGGGGGAATAGCCACAGGTTGGGCACGGAGCTACAAAACTGAAACAAAAGCCGTCTCCCAGCCTCCGCTCCAAAACGCGACACGTCTGGCAGCCCAGCTTTTCTGGATCGAACCCTTGCGCTCGACACCGCGACGTGTGATTAGCATCTGCCTGTCTGGCAGTGGGCAATGCGTCCGACTCTTGAACCCGAATCTCTCTGATGTCTCGCACTGGCTGGTGGCCTTGCTCGGCCTGCAGGAGGCACTACCATCGGCGCTCACAGGGCAGCTGGAATCCTGGCAGAGGCCAGGTACAGAGTCCGATGATCCTGAGGCCAAATGGGGGTTTACGAAAATTGGGGGGCCCTAAAATAGTTGGATCTCCTTATCATCGGGTACACCTCATATCGTCAATCTGCAAAAGAGCAAGGCAGCGCCCACCTGGGCGCGCACCGACCAGACCAGCAGAAGCCCCCTGAGGATGGCCTGGGGCTTTTTTAGCAGACAGGGCAAGCTTTGGGTCTTCTTAGGTCTGCTTAGTTGGGGCTGCTTAGGGCCCCTGTGAATCTTAGCTCCAGCAAGAAAAAGAAAAAAGGCCGGCCGTGCACTTTGCAGGAGCTGCGCGCCTTCATGGTGCCACCCGGGGGGCGCGTCCAGCTCTGTCAGCTTCCCACTTGAGCCAGCGCGAGGCCGAGAAGCAACTCTCGTTACAGAAAAAAGCCTGGTATATGGAGCTTCGGGTAGAGGAAACGAGGGTTTTTTGCAGGAGTTTCGGGGAGAGGCTCGTGAAGATCCAACCCACGCACAGGTCTCTGCCTTTGCTGTTTCTTCGGCCTTGGCAGTCTTCTCTGGCCTGCAGGTGATGTGCACCCGAAGCGAAGGATTAGCCAAGCCACAGCCCGGGCGAACAGGCTGAGGCGCTGGCAGCTTGGCTTCCACCTTGTAGCAGCTTTCGCTCCACCGCGCTTTGCAAGAAATTTTTTGCAACGCAAACGCATGCCAGGGAAGGGCCCGGGAGTTGCAATCCTGCCTGGGCAGCGATCTCGTCCAAGCTCTTCTGAATGCTGTCCAGCCGCTCTGCGAAGATGCCCTGCCAAGGTCTCACAGGGTTTGAAAATAGTCTTCGCGGGTGCTGGCACTGCAGCAAGGGAAGATACTATGATACTCCCTTTTTGAAGTCTCAGGGAGTTGCAAGTTGTGGCGTTTGGAGGTCTAAGGGCTCTTGGGCTGCGGAGGGTCCTTCTGCCGACCTTAAACCCTAAACCCATCCCCGAGATGGCATCCTCTCCCCCTAACAAGAGGCCTTTAGGGAGTCCAGCACACAGCTGTCGAAGCCTCCTCGTTCCTGCCCCAGGGCTGGAAGGACTCGCGTGTGGCGGACGTTGGGCTTTGGGGGTGTCGGGGTTTTCTTGGTGATGCTTGTAGAACGGCTAGAGCACGTGTAGATTCAGGGTTCATGGGTCTTGTGCATATTGGCTATCGGCTATCGGCTTCCAACTATCGGCTATCGGCTATCGACTATTGGCTATTGGCTATTGGCTATTGGCCATTGCTATTGCTATTGCTACTGCTACTGCTATTGCGATTACTACTGCTACAGTTCCCAGTACGAGTGCTATTGCAATGAACATGACTATGACTATAACTACGACTATGACTATGACTATGACCATGACCATGACTACGACTACGACTATGACTATTACTACATACTACTCCTTCCGTACAATCTGTCCGGGACCCCTTGACAGCCAGATGATAACCATAGGGTCCTTTTGCTTCGGGTTTTGGGGTGGCCACATGGCTCATCATACACAGGGTTTAGGGCCAGCGAGTCCTCCGTCTTCTTCAGGAGGACCTGGGGAGCTGCCGCCAACAAGGCGGGCTCACCCCCCAAGTTGGTGACCTGCTTCAGGAGCCTGTCATGAGTGAATGGGGAGTTGCTATGTTTTGGGGCTTGGGGTTGAGGTCACGCGTGTCCCGATAAGAGCATGTGTTTTACACTTCATAGGGGGTCTACAAAGGGACACCTCGAACCCCCAGATGGCTTTGTGGCCGTTCCCTTTTATAGGGTTTTTTCGAAACATGGGGTACATGATTCATGATCACAACCTTTGGGTTTCATGAAGTGCCCATTTGAGGCTTAGGAACTTGGGATGGAGGGGGTGTCTTGTCGCATCTGCAGGCGCCCGAAACAAAGTCCCGCCGGAGAGACTTGTCGCACGTCTTCTTGGCCTCTTTGGCGCTTCCGTTGGCATTGATGCCATCATCAATCAGCACCTTGCGCATGGGATGAGAGGTTTTACCGTTTGCGCTGGCTCCTGCCGTGTTTGGCAATTTGTCACCCTGCCTGAAGCAAGTTGTCCCTGAGGTCCCTCAGCTGCGCCGACAGTGGTTCGGTACCATCCAGGGTTCTCCAGACTGTCTCCCCTCCGGTCCACTCCCCAAAGGCGGCAGTTGGGGTCTAGGGACTGTTTGGGGATCGTGGGGCGCTGTTCAATAGGGAGGCGCTCTGTTAAAGACGAGCTTATATTGTCGGGGAACACATGAAAGAGATTCCTGACCGGCCGGCGAGCGTTTGCGGGGCAATGCAGAAACCATGGTCCCACGTCACCATTACAGTCGACGGCCCGAACCCTGAGCCGCTCGGCGTCCGGCGTGAACTTGGACTGCTCTTTCGTCAGCTGGTTGCTCCGCCTCGGGCTTTTCGAGCGGAAGCTCCAGGTTCCCATCCCGAAATTCGTGGAGCACGACCCTTGCAGAGCATAAAAAAGGAATGCATTTTTGGCGCCTGTTGAAGCCGGACTCCTCGCTGGCTATGGCTGCATCTGCCTGGAGCCCGCCGTCTAGAAGACGGGTTGAAGGTTTATAGGGCTTCGATCATTCGGTTTCAGCTACTCCAATATTCGCGCAGTCTACCCTGCAAGCAAAAGCACCTGCTCGCAGAGCGCAAGAGCTCCCTTGGCTGTGGCCACGTCTTCGGCCTTTTTGGCCACCGCGTCTTTCGCCTCGCAGATCAGAGTCACAAGTGCTGAGGCGACTCAAACAGGAAGCATATTGGCACATTGCCACTTGAAAATTGTGATCCCTTGGGCGGGCGGGGGGGTGAATACGGTAAAGGGGACCGTTTTAACGGAGGTCCCGTTATGGAATAAAAACTGTGAAGTTGGGTTGCCCTCATCATAGCCTGACGTATCATCTACTGAAGTTCCCTGAGCCCTTAAGTGAGCATTTCCCCTATTTATAGCTATGTCCCCGTTATGGGAACACCAACCAACAAGGGCGCCCCAAAACCCTAAACCCCGAAACCACAGAAAGGCGCTGACATCCTAAAGTTTTGGGCCGAGGGTTCATGCTGTTCAGAGTTTAGTTTAGGGTTTAGGGTTAGGGTTGAGGGTTGAGGGTTGAGGGTTGAGGGTTGGGGGTTGAGGGTTGAGGGTTGAGGGTTGAGGGTTGAGGGTTGAGGGTTGAGGGTTGAGGGTTGAGGATTTAGGGGGGCGACACCGGCAGAACTCTGCCTCGGCAGCATCATCCGTGGCGGCCTGGAGCTGCGCCTCAGGGTCTCGGCTGCGGGGGGCCCGCCTTCAACACCCTTCTCCGCATTGCTGCATGCTGTTAAAAGACAAAGGCCCTGTAGCCTGGTTACCCTCACTATAAGCCCTTCTGATATCTGGTGAGCAGCCCGGAAGCTGGCCCGCCCTAGCAGTGTATTCCATGGGCTTTCAACATCACCTTCAAGTATTGTCAAACCCTGAACCCTTAACTTGAGAGCAGGGCGAACGAAAGCTAGGGCGCAGGTGTGAAGACCGCGCTGCTCAGCCCTGAAATGATAAGTAACAATGCTGACCTAAGGGGGGGCGGGGGGGGGGGGGGCGGACCCCCCCCCCCCATTATCGGGAACATGGGCCCCCCCCCCCGTTAGGTCCACCACCTCCAGGGATTTCTTGTGTGGTTACCCCAGAGGGGGGGGGGGGGGCCCCCCCCCCCCCCCCCCATGGCAGCTTAAACCTCCGATATATCGGAGATTAAGGCCCCTGAGTGCTGTTTGACCCAAGAACAAACTGGTAAACAAGAACTCCCGCAAGCTCCAAAGGAGCTAGCTTTCGTGAATTTTAAGGTACCAGGCCCCTGAACCCTAAACCCTAAACCCTAAACTCTAAACCCCGTGTTGATGGTAAGGGGCGGGGGATGTGCCTTCTGAACTTCGAGCTCCGACTCGGCGGTGCTCGCCGACTTTTTGACCTCATCGGCCTGTCCAAGCAGCCTGCAAGGGTTTAGGGTTTAGGGTTTGGGGTTTAGGGTTCAGGGTTTAGGTTTTGGGGTTTAGGGTTTAGGGGCCTTTTCTGGGCCTTCGGGGTCTTTAGGGCCTTCGGGGTCTTTAGAGCCTTCAGGGCCTTTAGGGTTGAGGGAGATGGCATGTTGCGGCTTCGGATTGTTTGGAGCACCTGGCTGCAATGTCCTCCAGTGTCTCTTTGATGAAGTCGCCCATCCTGAAGGACTTTTTACTGATCTGAGAAACGGCATGTGCGATCATTCAAGGGGCTAAGACTCGGACCCCTAAAGGTTGTACCCCTAAGACGTTCCCTTCCCAATATGGCCCTTATGTTCCCTGAGAGGATCTTTCAAAAGGATCCCCAAACCCCAGAAGATACAACCCTGAACCTTTCCACTGCAATCCGGCCACGCTATCTGCATGGGATGCCGGTCTTCCACCATGCTCGACAGCGCCGCAGAGGCCTGAAAAGTGAGGGGGATTCGGCAAAGGGTTTGGGGGCCGTTTCGGAGGCTTGAGCAACGTCCACACATCGGAGTCCCCGGCGCCCTCCGCCAGCATCGCGCGCGCGACCGCGGTGGCCTCAGGCTGCTCAGAAGGTCCCCAAACCGCATTTCTCAAAAATCCTAAACCCTAAGCCCTAAACCCTCAACCCTGAACCCTAAAGCACTCCGCGCCTCAGACTCCAGGTTCGAGTCGCGCAGGGCCTGCAACCGCTGAGACTTCTCAGAGGGCTTCGAACCGCACCAGGGCATCTCCCACTGGCTGCGCTGCGGAGTAAGTCTTCGACAGCAATGATGGTGTTGATCTTGCTCCGAACTGTGTCGCCACCTCCCAATGTTTAGGGCTTGGGGTTTAATTGGGGTCTAGGGTTTAGGGTTCAGGGTTTAGGGTTTAGGGTTTAGGGTTTAGGGTTTAGGGTTTAGGGTTTAGGGTTTAGTCTTTCCCACACCAAGTCGATTATCAACAAGCTCGTGGCTGCCTGGTAGCACTGGCTCGTCGTTACATGCAGACACACGCTGAGCACCGCACGCTGGCGCTTCCATGCCGGACCTCCAGTCTCAACTGTTGGACCATTTTGGAACACTACCACGTCAATATAGCACTTGAGCCTTCGGCCCAAACGAAGCACGCAAATGCGGCGACATGCTTTGACCCGGCCTGCTGGAGTCGCAGCGCGCTTGCCCATGTTGCCGGGACCTGGGCTCCGTTTGACACGAGCCCGCAGATGCTTACAACAAGCAGCAGCAGCAGCAGCAGCAGCAGCAGCAGCAGCAGCAGCAGCAGCAGCAGCGGCAGAAGCACCCCACCACCCCCACCACCACCACCACCGCCACCACTAACGACTGAGACTGTGTCATTAAGTACGCTGCACTAGAAAGCGAAACGTTCCTGGCTGAGCTGAACATGAACGGATAGGCAGCAAGGCACGGCGATCATGAAGCCGCAGGTGCAAAGCACCGCACGCAAGAGGAGTCAGCAACATCTACACCAAGCCCTAAGCCCCTCAACCGGCTGTGTGCTGGCCCGGCCTCTGGCGCTCGCTGGACAGCACTAAGCTTGGCTCTGCCGAGCCAGAGCGGCCACGGGCAGGTTTGGCCACGGTCTTTTGGGATCTTTTGGGGCAGCTTCAGGAACTTCATTCACCGTCCTCTCGGCCTGTCCTAAGAAGGCGCTGGCCTAGGCCGGTTATGCCAGTGGGACTTTGATCTTGCGGCCTGGGAATATGGGGTGGTCACAATCCCACATGCCTTCGCCCCGCCTTCGCCTGTCCGTCCAGCGGAAGACGTAATCCGATTCCAAAGACGACCTTCGAGGCAATGCCGCCACAGATGGCCGCAGACACAGCCACTCCCAAACCCGGGGCCCGGGCAGGCCCAAAGGCATGCTCGAAAGTGCAGCCTCAGACCATGCTGCACAGGGAGGGGGCGGGTTTCCAGCAACTGCGCAGCCGATGCAACTGCTGAGCACGAAGCCGTGAATTCGACCTTTGACCAGAAGCCATCCTTGTCCAGGTCATGCTTGTAAAACCTCAGAGAACCACCGGCCGCCCGCAGGGCCCACAGACTCCAAGAGGCAAGAAAGCCGGTACGACAGATGGACAGAACTTCTGGGTGCCGCCACCAGTCCACCGGCGCAAGCTTCAGCACATGGAGCCGGCGTATGACACGTTGCCAGAGGACCTGCATTGCATTTGGGGGTTGCATTTCGGTTGCAAAATGTTTGCCAATCAGCTCGGCTCGGTGGCTGTCAACTGCAAGCTGCCGTCGCCATTCAGTGCTACCGGTACTTCTAGTAGAACTCTACTGCAGTGGATTCAACTCATGATCGACTACACACATGTATCACACATGCAGCCTGGAACTGCTCCTCTGTGATGGCTCCACGATCCACTTCAAACGGAGACCTGTGCCACCAGGTGCCCAGCGATGTCACAACTTCAGGACAGGGTCTAAGTCTTAGCCGCCCACAAGCCAATCGCACCAGGTGCCAGGACAGAAGTCGGATCGTCCTCCGGTCAACCAAACTTGACAAAGACGAATGCTCGAGCCAGCGCAAGGCACCTGCCATGCAATTGACAGCTCAATGTATCCAACAGGTGGAAGCCTCAGTGGCATTAGGATGCATTAGGTCGTGAGAGTTTGTTGTCTTGTCATATGCTTGCCAGCTCTATCAGAACCGTGGTTTCCGAGCATCACACTCTGCGGCAGCACCAGACCGATGCAGCGGGAAGTTTCCCTGAACCTCCATGCCGGTACCAGCAGTGTGTGAGAGCCAGCACGCCAGAGCACTGAGGCACACACACGGTTGTACTGCGACCTCGCAGGTAGAGCCAGGTAGAGCATTGCACTCCCCTGTATCATGAGAGGGCGACTCGGTGGCGACAAGGCCGCGAGCGCGAGGAGCTGGTTCAGCGGGACTTTGGCTTCGCCGATCAGGCCGAGCTGCTCCTGGCGGCACGGATTTCAAACGGAATGGCTTCGGATTTTGTGCCAACAGGTGTCACAAAAAACGATGGTTAAAAAAAACTACGGCTTTATAACAGTGATTGATATAGTAAAGTAGCGTGGCGTCATCTGCCGACGTCTAGCGTCGAGGACGTGTCGAGGACGTGTTGGGGACGTGCCGAGGACGTGCCGAGGACGTGTCGAGGACGTGTCGAGGACGTGTCGAGGACGAGTGGAGTCTGCCGGCATGCACCGGGATCGTCCTCCGAACCACCCGCTGGGGGCACCGAAGCGTCAAAGACCAGGAAGTGGAGCCCTCCGCCACTCTCCACCCACCTGCCCGCTAACACCCACACAAGTGAGCTGCACTTCCAGCTGCGTCCGGCCTGCAGAAGTCGCTATCCACTCGCACGACCATGCGCCTGGCGTCCTCACAGATATCATCAGACATCTCGGAAAGCATGGCTCAAAGGATCGCTTGCCCACAATACCGGGCCTCGAATGTAACGTTTGGCCCACTACCGCTCTGCGTGAAGTGGGTCTTGTGTCCAGGCACCTGGACACGGAGCTCGCGTTTGAACTCAGCCATCAAGCTCTGCGATGCTATGCGCACGTACTTGGGCCGGGCATGACGGACAAAAGGCCTCGTAGGTCACGTAAGGCTGCAGGCTGTCTGGAGACACGCCGGGTTGCGAAGGGACCTGCTGGGAGCGCGCTCAGCAGCTGCGAAGCTTCATGAACAACAGCGGGATACAGCAGGAACACCAGGGAGTAGGCCAGTGAGGTCACGTGGTAGATGTGCACCTAGTCAGGAGATGATAAGATATGACCGGAGAACAGGAGAGTGGAAGGCTTGTGAAAAGAACTCGCGCAAACCAGAGCTGAGACGTACTGAGCAAGCTGCGATGAGCCCCTTCGCTGCGTCCATCAGCCCAGGTGCAGCCGCTATGCCTGCCCCTGCCAGCTCAAGTCTCGTTCGCTGCGCGTACAGTGCGCAATGGCAGCCTCTTTACCTACACACAGACGTGTCCGCCTCACTCTTTTGAAGCTATGTGAGGAACTGGGTCTCTTTCTATGTGACAGTGTCCGAAGGCCCGACCGCATCCGTGTCTTCAAAGCAGCTTTGGCTCAGACACGTGATGCGTTGGATGCAGCCGATGAGCGCCATCAAGCGCCATGAGCTGCCATGTTCTAGACATAAATCTGGAAGCGGCCCAGAAGTCCAGACCCATGGATATGAGGTGGCAGCTTCGCGCAGGAAGTTTGCGGCCAGGGTCCACCAATTGGGACATCAGAATACACACATGAGCTCGGGCTGGAGCTGCAGTTTGTTCCAAGGTCAGCCTGGGCCTGGGCCTGATCGGCCCTGATGGTCACGTTGTTCCAGTAGTGGTGCACAGTAATGGGAATGAGGGACCGGCACGTCGCAGGGCCCTGGAACGTGAAGCTGTCTTGCACCGCAAGTGCAATGGTTGAACATTGCCAACCGGGTTCTCTGATCTCCGAGGTCGTGATGTACGCAATGCCCTGGCCCCCGAGCGACCAATGCCAGGCAGTTATAAACGGCCCGTTGATGCTATCCGGATTGTAGAAACACCACTGGTCCGCTTTGAAGAGGGAGGAACTGCACGTGGCAAGCAAGGCACCGGCAGCCAGGAGAGCCATAAGGGAAGAGAGGCCCCAACCGAGGCCCATTGCTACAACTGGCAAAGGATTGAACCGCCAAAGGCAAGAGGGCAAACTTCTAGGATTCTGCAGCCTTCCGTCCCTTGAGCCACAGTGCTGCCACAGTGGAACCAGAAGTGCACACACGGGAAGACAAGTGACACAAGTGGCATGCTTCTGGGCATGAAGCTTGCCACGCAGCTGCAGCCAGCGCCATGTGCCTACATTCTCAGCCGACGCGGCCACGGCAGCAACTGGAGACCTCGTCTTGCTAGCAGGAGACAAGGAAATGCTGCGCCAGGAAGAACAACGAGGACCTGCACGAAACTTATCCAGGCAGGAGGCATGCCGCGCGTGATGGTGTAGGTCTCCAGTTCCTGAATGATGCTTCTGCGCCATCTTGCCTCGGCATCTCTTCTCTGGCTCCTTTCTAAGCATGCTAATTGACCTCAGGCCTTGTAGCGGACGGTCGCAATTTGCACATGCGTATCGGCCTAACGAGCAAACAACATGGCCAGCAGCCCTCTTGCCCAAGACAGCGACTGGCCTCACAGGCGAAGGACAGAGTTCCAGCAATCACTGGGTTGGGATCCTCAGGCATAGCAGCCATGGGACTTATACTCATCATCATCATCATCATCATCATCATCATCATCATCATCATCATCATCATCACATAAAATCACAACGCTCGCACGGGAATCCTACTGCGGTCGCTAAGCATTCCCCATTCACACACATTGTGGTCGGTCCTGTGGAGTGCAGTCCAGGAGGGCAGCCAAAGGGAGACCAGCCCGTCCCAACACCTCAAGTGTCCAGAGCATCGCGTGATTCTCGCGCTGAGTCATGGTTCCTAGCCCACACCCAAACCCGAGAACCTAAACCCAAACACCATGAAGCCAAAACCACAAACCCCAAAAAACTAAGCCCACAACCCGAAACGCCTCTTGCTAGGGCGCAGGCATAGGCCGCGGATCCACTTGTGGAGAAGGCCTGGGATATGAGGTGAGGCTCTCGGGTATGCCTGCTGGTTCCTCTACAGTAGGGTTGAGGGTGTAAGGGTTTTAATGGCAAGACAGCTACTTTGGGCTGACGGCTCCATATCTTAAAGTATAGTATAGCAGGTGCGCATTTTGGGAAGCCTTTAAGGTGGATCCTACTGAATCTCTTCAACTTAGAATCCCCTACAAGCCCTGTTAACAGCCGCCGAAAACTTAACCATAGTCTCCCTCAGCCCTAAACCCTAAACCCTAAACCCTAAACCCTCAACCCTAAACCCTAAACCCTAAACCATACGGTGCCCGCGCCCGCGCGGGCCTGCAGCTCCAGCCGCACGGCGGCCCGAGCGAAGTGCTCCACCTCGGCGGCGCCCACCTTCCGAAGCGGTCTACGGCTCAGGAACTGGAAAATTAGGGTTTCGTCTTCGGGTTTTCTGGGGCATCCTTTTCTTTATTATTGTGTTTTTTATATATTTGTTGTGTGTGTGTGTGTGTTCCTTTTTTTTTTTTGGGGGGGGGGGGGGGGGGGTTGGGCCTTTGGGTTTAAGGTTTGGGTTGCAACAGCAAGGAAACCATAGCAGCTGTTGCGATAGAAAGTTCTCACCATGCGATGTAACTTGACGTAAGCTGCCTCACAGCAAACACAATGCGTGGGGCCTTTTTTCCTGGGCCAGTAATTGTACCTATATGCCCCTAAGTCCTCTAAGTAGGTTATAAGTAGACTTTGAATCGGGGTTATAAGTACCCATGAACCTTCAAGTAGGGTTGGGGAATTTTGGGGCGCAATGTTGCCCGTGAGCCCCCAGGCCTCCGGAGTCAGAGCTTCGAGCTTTTCGGTTGCCCCCTTGTTGCGTCCCAATGGTTCCCAGGGTTACTCCCACCTCTTTCCGCGATTATTTGGGGGGGTGGCTTCTTCCCAAGTCCTCAACTGAACAGGGCTGGAGCTGTCCAGGATGCCTCGAAAGGTCCAAAGGACAGCAGCGAATCGTAGCGCGGCCGGAGACCCACCTTTACACGAGCTCAGGATCTGGTGACAGGAAGGCTCGTCCCTGGAACCGGGCTTCTGGCAGCTGTCTCCGAAGTTCCCACGTCGCAGTGCATAAACTCGGCGATGACCTTTTCAGGTTCATCATGGTTCACCCGAACAGCCCGCACAAGATGAGGGCGTAAGTGGCTCACCAGGGTGCATAGGCTGTTCTCCGGCGGGATCTGCCAGATTCCCTCGCCTTCGCGGAGCTACATTGACTGCTGGGCCCTTGCGTTCAAGCTTGGCCCTGCACCCTGACGAGGCAGTTCCTGCAGCGCCCGGTCCTTCCAGCGGTCCACATTTCGAAGCTCAGTTGTTGGGTTTTGCTGAAAACATGAACTCGACGCACACTCTGTCGCATGTACTATCCCGTATATCCCGTATTGAAGACTTCGGCGATTTGGGACCGTGCGCCTCACATGCTGCCATGTGGTGTAATCTGTAAGCTTGTCATGAAGCCCTTGTTGACACGCTCTTTTCCCTTCACTCTCACTTCCAAGCCGTGGTTGGCATCCCGCGGTGGCCATGAGGCCAAGCTTAGGGAAGCTTGCGTTGTGCCAGTGGCTACATCTGGGCGTTCTGCCCGCGATATGCGAGAAGTCCTCCGCCACCAAAGCAAGAGGCTCCGGCACCCTGGCAACCGCGTACTCCGCGCCCTCATCCTTCAGGTCCAGGAAGCCATGCTCATATGCGCAGGCATGCGCAGCTTAGTGTCCTGAAGTCTTATGTGCAGAGACCCCATTAGTTGGCCATGACATGGCCAACTAATGGCCTACTTCTAGTCTCTGCACATAAGGCTTCAGGACACCAAGCTGCGCATGCCTGCGCACTCCGTCACGAAGAAGCTTTCCCAGTAAGGGTAGCTGGCTGACTTTTCTTTCCAGATTGCCCGCACAAAGGGCACCACGAATACCTCCACCCAAACCCATGGCGTGCGCTTGGCCCTGCAGGTTCTCACGGATGAGGGTCACGTTGCAGGGATCCGGGCCGCTGAGCCTTGCGCACCCAGCCCAGCTTCGTTGGCGTCGTCGAGAGCATTTTTTCAGTACTGGAAGAGCTGCAGCAAAGATGCCTCCAAGGTCTCAGGCGCTGCCGGCTGTAAAGCAAGTGGCCGGCTCGTAGGATGTGGGATGTCTGGCACGCCAGAGTGGTCCCAACCCGTTTGACGACTGCTTGCTTCCCACTTTGAGGCGCATGATGAACAAATGACACTCGGCAGCGGCTTCTTGCAAGGGGCTCAGGATGGGAAGAAGTCGAACAGGCCCGCCCTTGGATTGATCCGTGACCAGAAGAATGTGCCGAATCTATTGGTTGCAAGTATCAGCCGAGCCATCTCCGGATCGCGCTCAAGAACCCTGCACTGAGACCCGCTGTCAGGGAGCCAGTAGTCTTCTCCGCCCGAAACCGCTGGACAGGAGCAGCCATGCATGCACACCAGGACAACAGCCGACTGAAGAAGGGCGTTCGCTGGCTTTCGCATGAAACCGGAACCTTGACACAAATGCTGCGGAAGGGGAGGCATTCGGGTCAGCTGCAGGTCCTCGATCTGCCCAAGAGTGATGTACAGGTCCAAAACGTTCTTGCCATCGGAGATCTCCGAGAGCCTGGGAGGAGTGCGGGACAGCAAAGCAGCTGCTCCTGTTCTAAAAGAGAAGCAAACTCTCGGGGGCAGGCTCTGAGAAGCCACCATCGCTGACAACTTCGGAGCGGGCGCCCACCATACGCGAAGGCTGGCCAGCTGAGAGATCATAGGGTCGTAGGGTGGGTGGGCATCGGGCGCGTCTCAACAGCGCTACGCCAAGGCTCAAATCAGGCACTTGGGATCCTGAAACCACCCGAGTCTTAGATTCAGTTCTGCTCTGTCAGGGTATCCGACTCGAAAATGTACGCAGACAGAACCCCCAATTTTCAAAATTCAGAGCCAAACCCCCAAGCACCCCCGCCTGCGCAAATCTCTGCTCCTTGCGTTTCACCAGGCGCAGTTGGAGCTCCTGGAAGGTGCGAAGGGGAGGAGGTGGGCTTGGTGGGGAGATGCCCTGAGAAGAACCCAAGATACAGACCACCTTGCCATGCTTCTTGTCACCCCCTACTGCAGGAACGGATCCTGCTCTCCACTCCTAGGTTTCGTTGATTCCGTTGATTCCTCGACTTCGTGTCTTTCATGAGGCCGGTGCCTCTGAAAGTCCCCAAAGCCCTCACATAGAATACTTGCAGCTTTCCTACTCCTAACTCCCTTTTGGGGCCTTGCTTAGGGCCCTCTGCATGCCTCTGCCAGCTCTTATACCCCTAGACTCCTCAAGCCTAAACCCTAAACCGGCCCTATAAAAGCCCCAAACCCTCAACCCTGCAAGCCTTGAAGCCAAAACCCTTGAACCCTAAACCCTAAACCCTAAACCTAAACCCTAGCAGCCCAAGCGCTCCTTAATGCGGCCTTCGCGGTCCTGGGCGATCTTCCGGAAGCGCTCAGTGTCGGACATGGTCACCTGCTGGGCAACCTCCTAAAACTTCATTTGGATGGGGGCGGGGGGGGTTACGAAAATAGGGTTTAGGGTTTAGGGTGGGTTTTCGGGTTCAGGGTTTCGGGTTTAGGGTGTAGGGGGGATGTACGAAAATAGGGGACCCCTAATATAGACTCCCAATTAACAGGATCCCTTATACTAAGCCCAACCCGAATATCGTCAGGCTTAGGGAGGAAGGTTCTAGGGTTTTGGGCTGGGAGGGATTGGGGGTAGCTGAGGTTCCTACATGGTCCCACTGTAACTTACGCAACTAACTGTAGTTCGGCCATGAATGTGGCACGAAAACATGAAAGACCAAGTTGTGAAGTGGACCACGTTCTATACCATGGCCCTAAACCCTAAACCCTAAACCCTAAACCCTAAACCCTAAACCCTAAACCCTAAACCCTAAACCAAGGCCTGCATCTGCAGGCTGATCTCTTCAAGGTCCATTTGGTGAAGCTTTCGCAGATCCTCGCGCACTCATCTTTTGGCAATGCAAAGTCAAGACCCGCACCTGGGATGACATAAAATACCTGATCCTGTCCTTGGTGATGTCCCGCTCACGCTGGCAGATATCTTGCAGGGCGCGCAGCTCGAACCCCAGTTCATCCTGCAACCGGACAAGCTCAACGGAAATTGAACAGAGCTGCAAGAACCGCGGGATGCTTCCGCACGCTTCTGCGTGCACGTGCCTTCTCTGCCCGGATGGCATCCACGCGTCGCGCCAGCTCTTGAACGCTTGGCCCATGACCAGGAGGCGGCGGAGGTGCTGGTGGTCCTCGGGGAGGCTCCGGTGAATGGTATGGGAGAACCCGATCAAGCAAACAACTTGCCAGCCTGCTCGCTGCACCTTGGCACACAAAGGGTGCACAAGAGAGCAGCCCAGTTGCTGAGCCGACTTGTCTCAGAGCTCTGGGCGTCAGCTCTCTGGGCAACTTCCGCGGCTGCCTTTTCCTCGCGCTCGCGCAAGAACCTTCGAGGGGACCCGGGAACCGGTCTTTTTCGCCGTCGTCGCAGCAAGAGATGCTATCGGGGCTCCGGCTGCAATGAGAAGACCATGACCTGCACGGGGCAAAAAGAACTAAAACAAAAGCGCTATGCTCTCTCTTCCGTGCCTTCTCCGAAGGCAATACGCAAGAAGATCCACGAAGCAAGCAGCAGGTTGCCGTCAGTGCAGGATAAAGCCCAACGACTACAGGCGATTACGCGATTGTATGCGAATAACCTATACTATTGCGACATGAGCTTGAAATGTTCCTCGCACCCCTGCCTTCCTGTCCTCCTCCTGCAGGGTGTCCAACACCTCGGTCAGCTGGGACTGCGCCCTGTGAACTGCCTGCCGGTCAGGTGAGCAGAGGCGAGGAAAGATGCGTAGGGTTTGTGGGCTTAAGCTTTTTGGCTTTCCTGGATCAGGGAGCAAGTCAAGAGAGCAACATGAGTTTCATGGCAGAGCTCAGAGTTTCATGGCAAAGCTCAGGGCTTGGTGCTGTAGGCCTGTAGCCTTTGCAACTTACTCTAGGCGCCTTTGCCAGCTGCCCTACAGTCCGATGCAGTGTAACGTCTGTTGCCATCATGAGCATCAGCTGCGAAGCCCCTTCCAGAGCCACCGAAAGGCGGCGTGCATCATGAGCATCAGCTGCGAAGCCCTTTTACAAGCCGAAAGGGGGCGAGCATCATGAGCATCGCTGCGAAGCCCCTTCCCCAGCCACCGAAAGGGGGCGAGCATCATGAGCATCAGCTGCGAGGCCCCTTTCCAAGCCAGCGAAAGGGGGCGAGCATCATGAGCATCAGCTGCGAAGCCTCTTTCCAAGCGCATCATGAGCATCATCTGCGAAGCCCCTTCCCGAGCCGCCGAAAGGCGGCGAGCAGTATGAGCATCAGCTCACGAAAGGGGGCGAGCATCATGAGCATCAGCTGCGAAGCCCCTTCCCGAGCCGCCAAAAGGCGGCGAGCATTATGAGCATCAGCTGCGAGGCCCCTTTCCAAAGGGGCGAGCATCATGAGCATCAGCTGCGAAGCCTTTTCCAAGCGCACGAAAGGAGGCGAACATCATGAGCATCAGCTGCGAAGCCCCTTCCCGAGCCGCCGAAAGGCGGCGAGCATCATGAGCATCAGCTGCGAGGCCCCTTTCCAAGCCAGCGAAAGCGGGCGAGCATCATGAGCATCAGCTGCGAAGCCTTTTCCAAGCGCACGAAAGGGGGCGAGCATCATGGGCATCAGCTGCGAAGCCCCTTCCCGGCGAGGATCATGAGCATCAGCTGCGAGGCCCCTTTCGGCGAAAGGGGGCGAGCATCATGAGCAACAGCTGCGAAGCCTTTTTCCAAGCGCACGAAAGGGGGCGAGCATCATGAGCATCAGCTGCGAAGCCCCTTCCCGAGCCGCCGAAAGGCGGCGCGCATCATGAGCATCAGCTGCGAAGCCCTTTGCAAGCCCTGTTGAGCTCCGCTTCCTTTTTGCACGCGAGCACCTTCTGTCTGATCTCTGCGCGCGCAGGAAGGTCCTAGCTACTACCATGCCATGTTCTGCAGGATTGCCATGGATTGCCGGGAATAGCATCGGCGCTGCTACAGTAGCGTCCACCAGACCGTAAGTCGAGTGAGTCAGGGAGCGCACCGGCCAAGGCTTTTGGGCCTGTTCTTGCTATTCTCCAAGGTGCCGCCCATTCGAAGCTGTTCCATCGGCTTCTTACACTGCTACGGTAGAATCTGCACTCGCAGCACCTTGTGAAAGGCGTTCCTGCATCCCCGAAAGAATTCTTAGCAAGGAAACAGTCCGGCATGAAAACTCGGCGTGTCAGCAGTCATACTTAATGACCTTGGTAGACCAAGTCAGGCCCACAAAGGCAGCTCACTTGCAGAGACTTGGAGACTTGGAGACTTGAGGGTTTGGCCCTTTCCGGGATGGAGGGGTGTGTTTTGGGATGTTTCCCCTCATACGAACAGTCCTCAATAGGGATTATAATGGGGGGTACTACAACCCCGAATATGGTTAGTATAAGGGGGAAACATCCTAAAGGGGTGTTCTGGGTGTGTTCTGAGCTCTCTGCACCCCACTTCGCGAGGGTCTCCTCGAGCTCATCTGTTGTGACCTGCCCGGATCTTCAGGCTCAGCACAGACCCGAAACCCTAAATCCTAAGCCCTAAACCCTAAACCCCAAGCCCTACACCCTAAACCCTGAACCCTAAACCCTAAACCTGTGTAGGGGTGCAACACCACCACCGGCGAAAGGGTAACCGGATTGCCATGGTTGAACAGATCCAGCTCGAGCAGCCACTAGTAGGGTAGTCACGAAGGTTCAAAACTGGGAACCCTAAACCCTAGGCCCTAACCCTAAACCCTAAACCCTAAACCCTTGCTTCTTGGATTGCGGTGCGTTCCTTCAAGCCTTTCTGCGTAGCATCAATGGGCCTCGTCTCCAGATTTAAACTCGCTGAAGCCAACCACTGTGTGCTCTGTCTTCCCGTCCTGCAGTAGCAGAGAGCCTCTTGAGGTCCCCAAATACAGTGGATGCTGTCTTGTATAATACATAGTAAATATCTTGTTGTATCTGTGCATAAAAAGACTATATACTATCGTTGTAGCACAAATGATATGGTACGAGTTTAAACTGCAGATCGGATGAAGCTTCAACATCAAGGTGTGCGCGTTGCCATGACACAAAGAAGTTGAGCGCGACGCCACGCAAAGGACGAGAGACGGCAGGCACCAGATATGTAATCGCCTCAATTTCCGCAGATGTCAGTGTCGTATCCAATTGAGGCATGTTACGCCTGCCTTCTTCAGACCAGTCGCTCGGACAAATACGGCGCCTTTTCAGCGTTGATCTTGACAAAGCGAGTGTTCCAGTGCTTCTGACAAAGCTGCCTGGGCAGTGTTGCTGCAGCAGAACATGCAGAACATGCGTGTCAGAGGAAAGCCAGCTTCTTCAGAGTGCCTCAAGTGCTTGTCCATGATCTCACATCTCCACGTACTTTCTCTCCAGAAGTGGACGACCTCGGATGCAGGCAGAGAGCTGCAGATGCACAGATGCACTCACAGCATTCGCGGGGCCCTGGCCATCCGTTCAGACTTCTTCGCAACATCGAAGAACTCCTTCGCTCTAGAGCAGGTTGACTTCAATCGGCAGTCGTTTCCTGCATCTTCCTGTCATTCAGATTGAGCCGCCAGGCCTTCTCCTCGATCATGGTATACTCACCATGTCCGACGGCAAGCTTCTTCATCTTGTCCTCGACTGAAGGCCACGTTCCCAGAACAACAAAAATAGATCATCAAACTGAAGGCCAGAAGGATTGAGTGGATTGAGCGGGGCACTGCATGGGAGGACTTCATCTGCTCGAGTCGCTTGCGCCGCAACTCCTCCAGGTCGTCTTCCTGCCAAGCCGAAAAGCCCTAAGCCCTAAACCCTAAACCGTAAAACCCTAAACCCTAAGCCCTAAACCCTAAAACCCTAAACCCTAACAGCCAACCACCCAACCTCCGAAAGTTGCACATCACACTGGTGCTCCTTCAGTGCATCCAGGCGCGAAATCTCGGCATCGATTTCGGCCTCCTGGTCCTGCCACTTCTCTTGCGTCCCCAGCCGCGTTTTTAAGAGCCACGGGGCCGGGGGGGAATTCTATGAGAGCGCCTTTTTGAGGTGCTACTGTGTCCTCGGCAGCCTTCAGCAGAACGTCATTCAGTACTGAGATGTTCCTCACAAGCAGTCGGGTTCCCCTCACGGCACAGCAATTCCTCCTTCCCTTTTGCTGTCTGACGAGGTGCTTCTCAAAATAGCCCATGGTGCTCTCGACCTGGACCTCGGATCAGACACCCGTCGCTACTGCTCTGACTACTCTCCCAAGCCCTAGAAACTCGCGCTGATTGTACCCTGCGCAATTGAATGACGGCTGTGATCCAGGCCTGATGCTCTCAGCTTCTGTACACGAGAGTACTATCGGCTTGAGCCGACACAATGTTGCCGCGCGGTCAAACGAGTGTGGCTGTTTTACAGAAGGGCCACGGTTCTCGCTTGCAGCGCGACAAACTTCTCACCTAAATTACATCCGTGCTAAGCTGCCAGGGAGGTGCTTGCTGTGCTGCAGGAGCTCGTAAATTTCGTTGCGAAGGGACAAAGAGCTGTATGCGGCAGTATCTTGATGATGTGTGGCGGGGTGTGGTGTTCATGTCTGGAGCAGCTTCATGTCCGAGTGCACCGTGTGGTCCTATTTCCGGCAGGCCTTGGCCCTCTCTTCCATCTGAATCGCTTTGCGTTCGTTGTCCTGCTTGCGGCAGCAGGACTCGGAACCAACGCACTGATGCACTGGCATGACGCCGGAGACAGGCCAAGGTGAAGCATCTTTTGCTGTGTGGCGCCTGCAAGTCTGGCAAAGTGGTCTACTGCCGACTTGAACTAAGCGCCTCCTGCTACATGGTAGCAGCGTGCAACATGTCGTGACAAGTGGCGCTGTGCCAGAGGCTCTTGGGGCAAGGAGGCTGGACATGACAGATAGCTATGATAGCTGCTACCCACTGTGACAGTAAGCGTAGCCTTCGATGCCCACTGCTTGGCAATAAGGAGATATAAGTGCAGATGGTACTACGACACGCTAAGACCTCGCTTGCGTGAAGTCCAAAACAGACTGTACAACTTCGTCGCTCCATTCATCACGCCCTTTGGCTGTTGCCCTTGCCCTTGCCTGAGCATCCAAGGCAGCCAATCACAGCGGTCAAGTTCTCTCCGTTTATCTCCCTCTTCCGCATGATATTTTGCTTGCTTCATTCTGGGACGCGCAGATACGGAGCCTCCAAAGGGGGCAATCTGAGTTCCGGACCTTTGCCCTTGGAGGATCTACGCCTTACATTCATTGTGGAATCCATCTCAATCACGCATCCATCTTCGGATACTGCTCACAAACGAAGAGTGCTGAAGGTGTCCGGAAGCGCCCATAATTTACATGAACCCACGATGTTTCTCGACACGACTCAGACTTTCTTTAACATTCGGCCCTCCGATCCTGAGGAGGCGGCTCCTGTGTCCAGGTCTGTGGGGGCTGTCCGCCTTGCAGCACGCAGCCTCAGCGCGAGTATGCACATGAGCTGGTGATGTTGAGAACCTCAGGCTGCTTTAGGGACCATGTTCTCCTAAGAACCGGGAAGTTTATCACTACAAGTGGACGATTGCACCTCTCCACCTCCACTTGCGCATGCCTGCACCATCTCATCTCATCTCAGGCTTTGCTACAGTACATCAGACTCTTCAGGTGCTTCAGGTTCCGATAAGTTACGACCCCCGTAGTCTTTTGGAACACGGAGATCTCTGTACCCAGTGGGGTAAAGTCCTGCTCCAGACCCTAAACCCTAAACCCTAAACCCTAAACCTAGGGAGCTCTCGGGAGCCAGCGCTGCACAGCGGGGTCCACCCACACGTTCGGCTTCTCCTTCCGGAGGTCGACCAGCAGTCCGGCGGCTACCTGTAAGAAAAGGATCACGAATCACTCATGGAAATATGGGGGGTTTCCGAGAATAGGGGTACCCTTTTTGGGGGTCTCATTAAGGGGATTCTCTTCTATTTGGGGTATAAACGGCGTACCCCAATTTTGGGACATACCCGAATACGAAAACAGAACAACAACAGTCCTTGATTTGGATCCGTCCTCATATTTGGGTTTAGGGTTTAGGGCTTAGGGCTTAGGGTTTAGGGTTTAGGGTTTAGGGTTTAGGGTTGTGCAGGAAGCCGGGTTCCAGGAGGTGTAGAGCACACCCTCCCCCGGCCCCAACCGATCGTTCAGACTGCCGAAGCATCTTGCACGCTCAACAGACACCCTGTCGTGGGAAACTCCCATGCAGGACCCTAAACCCTTTTAACCCTAAACCCTATAAACCCTGAACCCTAAGCCCCCCAAAAAACCCTGAACCCCATTAACCCTAAACCCTAAACCCTAAACCCTAAACCCTAAACCCTAAACCCTAAACCCTAAACCCTAAACCCTATTAACCCTAAACCCTAATCCCAAACTTTGGCCTTGTTCCCTTCGGGAGAGCTCGCCATGGACGACAGGGTCTCCGAGATCGCAACCTCCTCAATGCCTGGCTCTGGAGTCAAGAGGGTTGTGCGGTTGTGCGACACACATCGTGCTTAAAACGCCCAGACCCTAAACCCTAAACCCTAAACCCTAAACTTTGGTTTGGCTTGGGGATGGCAACGCGCGACCTGGGCAAGCGGCCAGCGAACGATTGGACAGGAAAGGCCTGGGAGCGTGGTCAGTGGCCTATCATGCTTGGGGTTCAGGGTTTAGGGTTTAGGGTTTAGGGTTCAGGGTTCAGGGTTTAGGGTTTAGGGTTTAGGTTTTAGGGTTTAGGGTTCAGGGTTTAGGGTTTAGGGTTTAGGGTTTAGGGTTTAGGTCCTGTCCAATGCACAAGGCCCCCAAGGCTGCTTCCTCCATCCGAGATCTGTGGGTCCAGCAAAGCTCCGGAAAGGCCAAGTGCACCCCGGAGCAAGCCATCGACCTATTGTACAGACCAGGGAGCAAGCAACGGACGGCATGCTGTTCAAGGTGCCTTGTCGAACTGGCACTGTTGCACCGCTGTTCGGAACCTCTGCAACTTCGTCAGGGCATCTGACTGTGACGCAGGAAGGGTTTAATGCCAAGACTGTTCCTGCTACTGCTCTTGTTACTGTGCTGTAAACCTCATGAAACACGGCTGCCACGGGCTGGCAGTGAAAGGCGACATGGAACAAGTTCAACCGACGTGAGATCGATGACGCAAGATCCGCTTGATTCGCCAATGCCCGAGGGCCGACGCGAAAACAGTTTGTGGCGGGATTCAACCCAGCACAACTTGCATTAGTTGCAATGTGCCGCGAGAAGTTTAGGGAGTGTTTGCAGGCTGTCGACGACAAGCACATTCTTTGGCAGTACACTGCGCGGAACTCGGCTACACGGGACGAGTTTGTCGAATGTGCCCCCGGTCAAGCAGTTTTTTGTGGGGCCGCAGTGGCTCAACAAGAAGCCACCCAGGAAGCATCAACGATTGTCTCAAGGCACGGCCAGCCCAGACGCTCTCAGGTTCAGGCAGCATTGAGTAAGTTCGCTTGTCTGGTTGTACCTTACAAAGTCCATGTTCTGCGCATGTCTGTGCAGAACACTGCCCATCTCAGAGCAGCTGCCTTGCGCTCCATCATCTCCTCCAGTGTCTTGAGGCCCCTCTGAAGCTGCTTGCTGTAGCAGCACGCCTGGACCTGTGCAGCGGTGCAGATCCGCGAATCGGTCGCTATCCCCCTCTAAAAGCAGGCTAAGTCTGCCGCAAGATTGGCATAGACGTGGGAGTTTGGGTTGAGGTGGTACTTGCCCGACAGCTCCTTCACCTTCACTTGTGCAAGTTTGTGCCAGACCAAGAGCTCAGCGATTGCTTAGTTGACTGCAGATACTCCGAGCATGAGACAAGCTCAAAGGCCGAGTCCACACGACGTGCTCGGCTCATGAGCTTCACCTTGCCGACTTGCCGAGTCAAGACTGCTGTGCCCTTTAGCAACACGGAGGAGAGGGACGAGAGGACGAGAATGACGAGAATGATGAGCATGATGAGCATGATGAGAATGATGAGAATGAGGAGAATGATGAGCATGATGAGAATGAGGAGAATGATGAGAATGATGAGAATGATGAGAATGATGAGAAATCATAGACGGCACTAAGGCTGCCACAAGGACAGAGAGGGTGAAGTTGCTTGGCTTCACACCCGCTTCCTGCACAAGACGTGTCACGAAGCCCCCCAAGTTCAGCAAAGCCTTCCCATTCACTCGCATCACCCGCGGCCACCCTGATTTGGCCTCCATCTCTTTGAGCACGCGCAAGCCTTCCTCGACCAGGTTGCTTTGCGCACAGCCGTCCAGGAGTGAGTTGTACCTGCTCACCATCCCTGGTCCCACCCCCCTGCACGCTAACCCCAACATGCTCTGCTAGAAATGGGGGTTTACGAACATGGGTCCCCCCAAATAGTAGGATCCCCTTATGCTAAGGACCCCAACAAGGTACCCAAAACATCGTAAACCCCCCAAATGGCGGAGAGTTCTCTGAAGTTGGTGGTCACATGATCTCGTCCGGCACCAGGCCCGCCTTCCGTGATGGACACAGGAAGCTGACATTGCGAGGCGATTATATGGCTCTCGGACACCTCTTCCCTCATCTCCTTGACCAGCTTAAAAGCTGCAGAGAGGTCACCTCGGCTGCACCACAAAAGTTGCAAGGAGCTCCTTCGGCAGATCGAGGTGAACAGCACGGCGGGTCTAAAGCAAGAGAGGCTGGAATCCGTCAGGAAGGCCACTCACGTGCCCAAGCCAAGGTATGCTCCGCGGAATTACTACGAGACAAAATCGTGAAGAAGGCAAAGGCAACTCGGGCGACAAGTGGCGAAGAGCTTGGTAGAACTACGGAACACTACTGTACTGCACAAGCTTCGTGATCTTCGGCTCAGAATGTCTGCTTCTTCCAAGATGAGTGTTCAGGCGTTGGAGGGGGGAGTGTGCTTCTACCGTTCGAGGCGCAGAAACCCTCCACATACAACACGGGAGAAGCTTCTTGCGCAGACCTGTGCAGACCCTACCGAGCGTTTCTCAGGCACAACATCGGACACATGAGGATGCCAAGCTCAGCGCCAACTTGGCAATGGCCCTTCAGCATGGTGCTGTAGGTGATGATGTTCGGCTTGATGTTTGCCTGGCAGGTCATATGAATCATGTGGAGGCCGAGTCTGGGTGCTGAAACTTGTGTAGAAGTGTTTAAGTCTTGCTGTTTGGGTCCCGCCTTCTTCATGTCTGCTAGGATGTCAGGCACGCCATCCATGCCTGGGCCGAATGGTTGCACGATGCTGCAGCACATGCGATGGGGCTGGTACTGCAACCCTGTTCGCCAAAAACTGCACAAAACTCGCTAAACGTAACAAACTCCAAGTCATTCGAAGGTTGGCTCTGATGTGCAGCCAGGCCATATTCTCTCGAAGCTGAGGCATTGGAAGGACTGAGAACGGCACGACAGCAGCGGGCGCAGCAGTCAAGAAGCGTGTTGTAGGTGACAACCTGCCAGCTCTCCCCACACCATCAGATCTGCAGCTCCGAAAGCATGACATCCTGAGGGCACTGCCGACAAGTCAATGTTGCGCCTCTGCATCTCCTGCGCCGTGGAACCAGGCTTCTCAATTGAGCAGCGCGAGTGCGCAAGAAAAACATGCGTGGAGCCTCATAGACCGACCAGACCTTCCCGGCATTCTTCTCCCTGGTGAAGCCCTGGCATCAGCACAAGTAATCTCGCCTGCACTTCTCCAGATCTCACCAGCCTTCAACACGGAGCAATAGATGACGGCATTCAGGATGCCCTTGCAATGAGGATCCTGGAAGTCGTGCCAGGTGCATGCAGAACAGCTCAAAACAGCAAAAACCGCTGCTGTCAAAACTGCACCCACTGGATGGTTTAGGGTTTTCGGGTTTAGGGTTGTAGAGTTTAGGGTTTAGGGTTTAGGGTGCAGGGTTTAGGGTACGCAGTAAGATGCGGTTACGTCCTCGCCAAGCTCTTGGATCAGATGCCAGGCGCCGTCCGGGTCTCCATTCGACACCACGGCCTGCACAGACCGCAGAAGATGGCTGAAGTGCCCCGGAGATCCTCTGAGTACTCCCCTCCCCGCTAGTATTTTAACCCCCCCTACCCCCTAATATTCAATACCCCCCCCATATACCCTAACATAACTATAATGGTATTTAATATTACTCGCAAGCTCATAACAATCACGCCTCGATCATGCAGCCTACGGTGATGCTGGTCGGCTTGATGTGGCCTGGCCGGTACCAGCCCTGAACGATATTCCCCTTAGAACCTTAATTTTATTTTGATATCCTCTTGGGGTTTGTATAAACAAAAACAAGAAATAGTTTCGAAGGGGGAGATAGTGAGTTTTTATCGTGGCACTGTCTTCTTTGTTGCTGCCAGCGCTGATGGCATTACGCCTTCACAGCGATGGGAATTTTGGGTATGGCTTCGGCGACCTCTGATCGTTGCACGCCGCAGTTTTCTGCGGAGGTGGTTTTCAGCAGGGGGCCCCTGAAAGAGGTGTTTGCCAAGCTTGGTCTGTGCTTGCTACGCAAGTGCAAGGAACCGGGAAGTGGGCGAAGCTGGAAGCCCCTCGAAAAGCTCAGAAAAGTGACTTGCATGGTCCGCGAACTGCACATGGCCAGTACAACGAAAAGAGGGATATTTGAAGCAGCCGCTCATTTGGCTTCCCAGCTTCATCTGCTGGAGCCTAGATGCAGCCGCTCACGAAGAGGCGCCCCACGTCAACGTGCATAACGATGTGGATTAGGCTCGTTGGTGGCATGAGTCGAGGCTCCATAGCCATAGCATCCTTCACGACCCGGGCGACGTGGTTTCTAGCTCCAGGCCGTGGGCCACGAAGACGTTGATGTGCGCGTGCCCGCTCCCCCACGGCTTGGCGCAGCACTGCACCAGTGCCAGGCAAAGAGGTCTCTCCGCGAGTCAAGCTGGATCTGGTAGGGCGGCAGCGTGACAAAAGCCTTCGTCGAAGCCTGCCACCGGGAACCCCGCAACCTCTCCGTGCGTTTCCACGGGCAGCCTCGTGCTACTGATGCGAGTAGTGTTTCAGGAGCCTGTAACGGTATCCCTTAAGCCCTTAAGTGAGTCTGACAGACCAAGGTTCCAATAGGGTGAGTGCTCTTGGAACTTGAGGCCCGTGCTGCCATCTTCTGCTGTCACGACCCTTTCGTCTTCCTGCTTTTTGTCTCCTTCTGTTCCCGAAACATCCTTGAACTTCGAAGAATCTGCGCGCAAGCACTTGGGAGGGGGAGCCGGGGGCACTGCCTGCGGCAAGAGAGGAAGGAGAGGCTCTGCATGCGTGGCCGGGGCTCCGGCAGGTCTTCAACTCTCTGAATGCACTGTGTCCCTACTACCGATGGACACCAGGTTCGCATCCGTGGTTCTAGTCTCTTGCCGTAGGTGACTCCAGGATCTGGCACTCATATCCGTTGCGCATATCGAAGTGCCAGCTTGCTATGGCCGCACGGCATGGAGGGAGTTCCTTCAACTCGAGATGCTCAAGCAAACGGCAGCGGTCTTCGTGAACAAAGGCAGCTTCTGTGGCTGCCCTTGGCAACATGCCGGGGCCACGAGTTCTCATCTCCTTCCAGCAACGCCAGACCTTCGGCAGCAGAAGAATGCCAGCCCTCCGCAGGCTTGCAAACCGGGGTCGTCGCCGACTTCATGTCCCTGGCGTGTCCGTAAGCCTCCGGTGCCGGTGATCATGCGGGAGTGGCAAACCGCTACAATTATTCAGCCACTACCAAGGAACTGCGGGTGCACGATACACGTGACAGAGTGATGCCACTGATTTGGTCTCGTGTTCGCCTTGATAAGGCTGCCGAAGGTATGAGAGCCATTGACCTTGATGTCACCGGACATGAGCTGCCTGTCCAGTTAGCACTGCTCCCCCTGCATCAAACCAAATCGAAACCAGAAAAGCTGCAAATCTAAGTCGCCCGTGCCGCCTCAATTTGGTGTTGAGGAGATCAGGCTTGCCAATGCGAACACAGGCCTCCACCTGCGCATGAACAGCAAGGTGCAGCAACCATCGGATGCTGCAGCGGTGCTCGCACTGCACTGCAAGGGCACCGAGGAAACAGGCCAGGCGGACCACTGAGGAGAGAAGAACCTCATCCAGCTGCTCCTCCATGTCGTTGATGAGCTGCATCCTCTTCCAACCCCCACTGACCACTGACCACTGTGCAATGCTTCGTCCATGCATCCCGCGAGAACGAGGAATGAGACCGGCACGTCTGATTGATGTCCGACTCCGGGGAAGAGCCATTCAGGTTCTTCAGCAGGATCGAGCCTGAGCGGCCGTACTGTGGGACTCATGGTCATTTGCTACTCCAATGCTGGGGTCCTGGCAAGTGACTTGATTGGGCTTCACGCCTGCCGCCTGCATCTCATGGATGACCTTCCAGACCTGGTAAGGCTGCTGTGGGTGGGTCTCTCAGCTGATTACTGTGATGCACTCAAGGGGCGTCACGTTTCTCACAACGTACTCTCCTTTTTTGCTTTGCTGTCTCGCTGCACTCGCGAGCCTTCACAGGCGCCCAGCACTGCAGAGAGCAGCTTTTGGGCATTGGGCAGCACCGTCCACCTCGTGGCCTCGTGCCTCGTCAAGGCCCCTCTGGGCCAAATAGACATATAGAGAGACCTTCTCGAGTCTGCTTCTCCTTCTTCTCCAGGTGTGCCTGCACTGCCCTGGCCTGCTACGTTGGCATGTGCCGGCGTGCACTTGCCGGGGATTTCTGCTGGCATGTTCACACGCACGATGGCGGTCACAGCTCGACATCGTTGTAGACGGGCTGTGCGGCCGTCCACCGGTTGTCCGAGTTCTCAGGCTTGCGATCCGCCGGCGCTGGGGCACTGAGGCCTCCCCAGGCATTGAGGTCGGGCTCAGGGCGGAGGCCTCCCAAGCTGCTCCCGACCAAGGCTAAGTCCCCAAGCGAACTTCGCCCAAGCAAGCTCCCAAAGCTCCCACCGAGGCCAAGACGATCACCAGGGGAAGAGAAGGGCTTCAGGACCTCGTTAAGGCCCCCTGCGCCCGGAGAGCCCGGAGAGCTCGGAGGGGGGCTCGGAGAGCTCGGAGAGCTCGGAGAGTCCTCCGGTGCTTCCTCCTTCTTCCCCGCTTTCTTCTGGCTTCGCTTCACCTTCTCCGCATGCCGATCGATAAGCCTGGTGTAGCACGACATCATATCTCCGAGGGCCATGAGAATCTCTAGCGCGTATTCATCCTGTGTCTCATGTACCTGCGCAATGCCGCCAGCGGGCGCCAGTCGTCTGCCGAGCTCATCAAGGCCAGAGTGAATGATGTTTTCTGCATCCCCCACATGCTTTGCATCCGAGTTGGTTAGGGGCCAATCCTCTTTGGGCCAATCCGGACCTTGCATTCGCGTGAGCATCTCCTTCTGCTTCTCTTGCATCTGTAGCTGCCGCTCACGAAACAGAGATGCGACTTCCAGCGCCTTGGTCTTGAACGACCGCGCATCTCGTGAAACCCGCTTCTTGGCCCGCGCGCGGAGGCTCTGGATGGTATGCCCACAGAACGTGGTCGCTTTCACGTCGTCGAGCTTCCGTGGCGGGGCCTTCCCCATCACCCTGCTGAATTCCTGCCAGAGCTTCTGAGAAAATCTGTGACCACACACGTGACGTCCTAACAATCCAAAGAATGACCTCCACACTCTCAACAGCACCTCAACATCACTTACCCACGTCCGCCCACACAAGCAAAGAGCCATCTCCATTCGCCCATGTCACTGCCCGGCCTTTTCAAGAACAGACACCGCCTCTTTGAGCTTGGGGAGGAAGACCCGCACTTGCTGCATGTAGGGCTCTGTCTGGGGATGCTTTGCTAAGGCCTCGTTGTCGGCAGACTCCTTGCCAATCTCATGCGCCTGCGATTCCGATGCTACACCAGAGAAGACTGCTATCCTAAGAGCACGAAGAACACGAAGACTGCGGTGAAAGCAAACTTGGGCTTCCGCGCCTGCCGCTGCAAAGACTTGAACACGGTCTGGAGTGCCTCAAGCTGTTGGACCACTTTGACGGAGACTCGGTCGGGCCCTGTTGCAGCCTCGGAGATGAGACTCGTGGCGCAGCACGTCTTTCGCAACACTGCACTCATGCAAGATGAGTGTTCCCATCCCAGGTGAAGACGGCAGGGCAGGACGTTTGCAGGAAAGATGCAATTTCGCTCGGCGGGGAGCCAGGAGGCAGTGGAAGCTTGCTGGCCGCCTGCCTAAAAAAGATGACACATGCATCAAGTTGCCACTAAACCCCGAGAAAGAAGGCGAAGCCGCCACAAATGCTGCAAAATGCTGCAAAGCACAGCCACATGCTGCCAACCGGCAAATCGTCGACAAGGCTGCCCAGCCGCTTCCAGTTCTCCTTGCGATTAGGGTTTAGGGTTTAGGGTTTCGGGCTTAGGGTTTAGGGTTTAGAGTTTAGAGTTTAGGTTTACGGCTGCGCAGTTGCAACGGCATGCAGTCCTCGATCGCTGAATGTGTCTCGGAAAGCTCCGAAAACATACTTCGGGAGGGTTGAAGTCTGAGAAGCAGAATCCAAATCCATGGCCAAAGCATGGCGCGGACACGGCGAGGACAAGCGTCGCCAAAGCACCGTTGAAAAAACTTGCCGAGTGATCGAAAAAGGGCACAGGTGGGGAACAAACTGCTGGCTTCTCAAGTATTCTTACTGCTATAGTAGAATAAACCCATGTAGTGTGTATATATATAGATGCATAGATATATATATATATATATACATAATGCTACTTCTCAATTCTCATCAAACTACTGGTTGGGCTTCACAGCTGCAGGCAAATTCCAGTTCCACAAAGCTCGGGGCTTGACGCAAGTGGCCCCTGACGTGATGCTTCGCCTTCAGACTGCCGGATTGTGGGGCCCCGCACCTCCCCGCGCACCCTCCTGTCAGGGCTTGAAACAGTGGCATTCACGATCTCGTTGAAGGTGATGCAGTTCCTTGGAAGGAAGCAGAATGGATTCCAGATGCCCCTCTGAACAAATACCAAGACCAGCACGGCTGCAGCTGCGCAACCTGGTCGCAGAACGTTCCAGCGGAACCCAAAATCAAGAAAGTTCCCAGCGCGTCACAGGTTCGCATGAGCCCAGGTGTGCGCCACACCCCTTCTCGTTGATTTTGGAGGTTTATCTCACGTGCTTGCAGTTCCCCTGATCTACCCTGTGCCTAATGCAAACCCCCAGACTCCTTAAGCAAGCTCAAACAAGAACCGGCTTCGACCCATCAAACCCTCTGCAGGACCCCCTACGTGGAGGTTCAGGGTTACTTATAACCCCAAATAGAAGTCTTCTTATCACCTACTTGAAGGACTCAAGAAGGGCGTACAAGTACAGTTACATCGGGGTTATAAGTACCTGGACCTTTAAGTACACAACCCTCCCGAAGCCTACAGACCTCTCGAGGCCACAGTCAATGATAAGGACCCCAATAGTTCGCTTCTTCTTACCCCAAGGTTCTTCAGCTCCTGAACAACCGATTTTTTCATTTTCTAGATTCGATCTCCCGCTGTGGTTCTTCTATGTATTGATAAACTACCTCTTGATACCACTAGTACAGCTATAAAAACATTATATATCATCAAACACCACGAATACAGCGTACCATGCACATATATATATATATATATACACCACATAAATTTTCAAGACCAGTAGCAATACCCTAAATGACACGATACATAATTCAGGTAAATGCATATTGTTGATCGTAGAAATAAATAGCACCACCAGTAAATCATACAAATGTTGCTAATATTCAGCTGCGTTTTTGTATCTCATCTATTGTTCTTTTGCAAGACAAAAGGGTTAGTGTCGTTTCTGGAATCTATAATAAATATATATGTATGTATATAGGATTGCCCCTTAGCTCACAAGCCCCTAAACTCTGGGACCCGACCCCGAACTTCCTGCAGACAAACCTTCCTCGGATTTGCTGTGGCTTTTGCAAGCATTTAAAAAAAAAAAACTCATAAATAAAACTGAGCCCAGAACCCGCATCTCTTCGACAAGAGCTCGGGCTTTGCCCATGTGCCCCGCCTGCGCAGATGCAATACCCACAACTCAGAGCCGAACCCTGAGCAAAGACCCTTTCACAAACAGCCTAGGCCTATACACTTTGCGCCCACTGGAGAAAGCTAGCTGATGCTGGTTGAAGCCGGCTCTCTGCCTGGAGGTGGGCTTTGATGAGGGTGTTGTAGCTGACAACATCAGCCATACCCTGAGTCCACGCTGGCTCTGCAGACTAATAGCAACATCTTCGTTGAGAACATGCACGCAACTACGTGCAATACGTACCTCACTCCATTGGCATGTTCTCTACAAGCTTCTGTTAACCCAAGTGACTAAACCCTAAGCTCCAAACCCAAATCCTAGAGAAAAGCCCAAACCGGCAGAGGGAAGTGCAAGCGCACCTACAGATGTGACAGCTACTGTACCAAGGTGCTCGTGACGTCACTTTGGCACCCACAAACCTCTGGGGGCAGCACATCCTTCTTCATCTGCTCCATCCACGCCTCGGCCTTCTCCAGCCGGGAGCACTCGACGCAGGCCTGGCTCAAAAACAGAAATACTGACTCCTTTGGGAGGCTTGGAGGAAGGCTTAGGCGGCTTAGGGTGCCGGATGGTGCCGGGCTTCGGGTAAAAAGGGTGTCCAGGAACAGGGTTCATGGGTTTCGGGCCGGGGTGTGGGATTTAGCCGGGCGCCCCCGCATCCAAGACGGTGTTGTAAACGACGCTGTTGAGCTCAGCTGCGCTGTTCTTCAAGGACTGGAAGACGTTCATCGCCTGAACATGCTGTATGTGTGCGCTAGTGAGCTAGTGAAGCTCCGACAAGAAACGGCTCTGAGTTCTGAGGAGCTCGGTAGGAGCTCGGCTCCCTCCAGGTTGTGCTCCACCGCGCAGCTGCGGATCATCGTGATGTGTTTTGCCACATCAGACCTGACTTTTGTCAAACATTTCTTTCACCGGCACTTCAGATTTCTGAGGCTCTGGCGGGTTCTCAGAGAGGAGGGACTGCGCCTGCGAAAGGGGCATCAAAGTGCACAGGCGTCAGCAGTTGGGATGCGCGTCCAGCGAGTGCACACTTTGGCAAAAGCTTACAAAAGCAGATTCTCCCCACGGCTTGATGCGCAGGCCATCATGTGCTTAAAGATCTGTGACCTCCCAGGTGGTGCCAGTCGCGAGCAACCGTTCAAAGAGGCCTTCCCCACAAGCAGCAGCTGGCGATAAGACGCCGCCGGCCCTCTGAGTTTTCGGGAGGTCTGTCAAGGCAAGGGCAGCCTCCGCGCACATCCGTGCCGTGTCCTTGTAGCCCGGGTCCGTGTAGAACTTCATGACCGCCTTGCACTTGGGGCTCTTGCCCTTCGTGTCCGCAAAGGCGGTGAGGGTTAGGAAGCCCTTTGACATCTCCTCCTGGCTGGGTCCCACTCCGGGCTCGGGGAGGACACCCATCTTGTACCACAGGGACTGCGTGAAGGGCAAGTAGATGCTGACTCCAAGGGCAAAAGTTTGCAGCGAAGACATTCCCAACTCGCTGCTCTCCAGTATCGCCTCGTGGTACTTCAGGTCCGGGACCATCTTCAGGACAGCGTTCGTTCGCCGCACGGCGTTGGCCATGACGGGCCCCATGATCCAAGGCCCACCTTTCTGCCCCACTTCCTCGTAGTACTGGCTGCCTTCCGGGGCAAAAAAGCTCCGCTTCCGGAAGTGAAATTGGTCTCACGACATCGGAAAGAGTCACCCAGGCATCAGAGAGCAACAACTCCAAAAACATATGGGGGTTTACGAAAATGCGGGACCCCAATTATAAACCCCCAGATAGTAGGATTCCCCACTGTAACGGGAAACCGCGACTGCGGAAAACCACGGGACGGTATGACCGGGTATGACCGGGTATGACCGGGTATGACCGGGTATGACCGGGTATGACCGGGTATGACGGGGTATGACCGGGTATGACCGGGTATGCCCGGGTATGACCGCGTATGACCGGGTATGACCGGGTATGACCGGGTATGACCGGGTATGACTCGGGCATGACTCGGGCGTACTCGGGCGTACTCGGGCGTACTCGGGCGTACTCGGGCGTACTCGGGCGTACTCGGACGCACTCGGGCGCACTCGGGCGTACTCGGGCGTACTCGGGCGTACTCGGACGTACTCGGGCGCACTCAGGCGCACTCGGGCGTACTCGCTCGGGCGCACTCGGGCGTACTCGGGCGTACTCGGGCGTACTCGGACGTACTCGGGCGTACTCGGGCGTACTCGGGCGTATACTCGGGCGTACTCGGACGTACTCGGGCGCACTCGGGCGTACTCGGGCGTACTCGGGCGTACTCGGACGTACTCGGGCGCACTCGGGCGTACTCGGGCGTACTCGGGCGTACTCGGCCTGCAGTCGCGGAACGCGGCCGCAATGGGATTCCCTTCTATTTAGGACCCGAATAGGGTACCCCTAATTTCGAAAACCCCCGTATGCGTTTGAGCCATTTTGAGCCCTGATTGCTGCCTTTTGGAAGGTCGACTTGCGTCAGGCACTCGGACTTCTTGCCATCCGCAAGGTAGAGAGGGTCGAAGCCCAGGGAGCTCTTGCTCGCCTTCTGCTGCATGTTGAGCATGGCGGTGCTCATGGTGCCACCACTCGGGCAGCTCCGCATCTCCCCGAAAAGCCGGACGCCCGTGAGCTCCGAGCCCAGAAGCTTCCAGAGCTTCCAGACAGCCAAGTCCCAAGGAACGCAGTCTTGGCCACAGTGGATGGCAATCCGTGCGCCGCTCTGCTTCGCGGTGGCGTCGTACTTCTCGATCATCTTCCGCATGAAGGTGCTCTCCCCGCTGGTATCTACGTAGTCAACCCCGAGCTCTGCACAGGCCTGTACAAGTGGCTCTCCATACTCCACGAAAGGCCCCACACCCGTGCAAACGCACTTGGCCTTTTTCACCACATCCTTGACTTGGTCTTGGGTTGCGCTCATCACATCCAGCACATAAACATCTGGCTTGGACTCGAACTCTTCAACTGCTTTGTCAAGCTTGGCTTGACTTCGACCGCAGATTGCAATCTTGCACCCTCCCTTTGCCTGAAGATACTTCAGAATAAGAGAACCGGTAAAGCCAGTCGCTCCAAAAATGACAACATCATACTGAGCCATGGAGGCCAAACGCCCTCGGCCCAGGAACTCGACTTAGCGACTGTGTACTTCAGAGCCAAACAGAGGCGCCAAGAATGCGCACAACAGGGGACTGGCGGACTCTCTCACGTCAAGGCAGGACTGCAGATCGCAAACGTGCAACTACCACCGCTGCCCGATGATGCGTGCAGGGAGACAGCACCAGCTTGCTGCGGCCGCACTTCAGCGCAGCGTTCATGACGCAACGCCTTAGCCAGTTGCTGAAGTGGAATGAAGGGGCTCTGACTACCATGAGCCTGTCTTCACTGCGTCTCGCACTCCATGCGTGAGTCCAGGATGGCTCTACCTGCCAGGGGATGGGGGGGGGGTTTCGGAACTCAGAGTCTTCTGGATGGGATCGAGTCTGAGGCTCAAGCGCGCTGCAACAGCGCACAAGAGCTCTTTAAAAGGTGATGCCATGCCACGCACAAGCGCCGGAAGGGCCTTCAGCCGCAGCCTTCTCGCGCAGCGGGGCAGCATCTTTCTCCTCAGCGGCCCGCTGCAATCGCAATGAAGACCCTCAACCGGGGCACCTTCGTGGGGTGGAGCTTCAAAACCCTGCACATCATCCAACAGAACGACCGCTGACACGCAAAAGCTTTGAGAAGAATGCAGGGGCTTAACACTCTTGTACATGGCGGCGGCCACGAAGAGGTTTCAGTAGACAGAGTTTGCGTAAGTTTCCTCGATCCGCTGCACCTATCCTATCCGTGCTCAGGCTGGGGCATACATGTCGCAGACCTTCTCGTAGTTCTCGACCTGCCACAGAACTGAAGAAAAGCCACAGAACTCGGCAGCAACGCCTTTCCCGCCTCGAAGTGGAAGCGGACAAAAGCATTCAGGACCGCCTGCCTGGGTGAACGCGTGGTCAGTTCCCCGAAGTATGGCCCCATTGTCTGGGTCCCTATTTATAACACAGCCAGCTCCTGATCTACAGCTCACAACAGTATTCACAATGGGGGCCAAATTATTTTGCAAAAGAAAAAATCACCAAAAGTCGCCCTGAGTTCGACTCCTTGTCAACAGTTCGGCAGACCCGAGGGGCAGACGGCATGTTCTTGGAGAAGTGCTGGTAGGCCTGGTCTGCCTGAAAGAAGCCATCCCCTTCGCCAGTGCTTCAACTAAAGAAGTGCCTCAATTTCACTTTGCAAACTTATGTTCCCAAGCAAGGGTTCTGGGTTCGGTTTTGCAAAGGCTTGGAGTTTCAGGCATTCAGGGGTTTGGTTCCCTGGCTGCTTGCTGGGCCCCAGGCGAGGGCAAAGTTGCGGGTCCTCAGATGTCAGACTTGTCAGACTTGAGGCCCAGCTTTGCAGGAGCGAGGTGCTTTGAAGGCTTACGGCTTATGGGGCTCCTTCAAGATCCCTCAAGCCTCATCCCAAGACCATCCCAGACTCCCAAGGTTTTCGAAGACCCGACGTGCCCAAAAAGGCTAGGGAGCTGAGCACGAGGCTGCTGGCAGCACGCGAGCAGTGCCAGGCACAGTTCGGGTCCTAACGGAAGGCGGCAACGGGCCTATGGGGCGAGATTGTCTCGAAAGAGTTCGTGGAAGACACTGGCAAGTGGCAGTATCATGCTCTGTCATAGAATCGTTTCTTCACGTTGTGCCTTGTTGTACCATGGTGCAGAGGTTCAGGGTTTAGGAATGAATCATTTTTTGCTGTTGGGTGACAGAACCCGCCTTCTGCGTTTGATTGCGATGCAGGATGTGGCGCCAAGGCCACGCGAGGAATACCATCAGTGCGCACATGGGCTTTGCATGTTGGAGCCAGCGACATTACACGTAGATTCTGGGAAGGAGCTTGTCCTGCATCCGGCTTCTTTTCCAAGGCCTCCTTGAACAGCTTCTCGACTTTCTCATCGCAATCTGACAGGCTGACAGGCTGCAACTCAAGAAAGGTCGTGTGCAGGTCAGAAGTATGGCCTCGGTATCCTTTCATGAGCAAGCCATAGGTCGACTCGGAGAAGGCCTTCGGTCTGACATGACCCGACGTCCGCATCCCAGTCTCCAACAGATGTGAATGGTTCGGTCTCCGGCGATGCCCTTCTCGCGTGCAAGAGATTCCACCTCTAACGCCAGCACGTGTTCACAGGCTCATGTTCACTGCGACTGCGACTGCGACTACGACTGCGAGCAGTGAGAGAACATGCGTGAACATACGGGGAAGATGAGCCTGCTGGAGGAGCTCTTCATCCTTCTCTCGAACAGCTTCCGCCACCATGGCTTGAATGGCCTCGGAAGGCTGGGGGGTGTCCAAAGATGTCCCCAACAATAAAACCGCTGAATGACCATTCGAATTGAGTATCGACGGCAAAACAGGGTGACTAGAGCCTCCGGCATCCTCTGACAGCGGGACTGTCGCAAGCTCTGGGAGAAACAGCTTCAGCTTTTGCTCCTCGCACGGCGAGCACCAAAGACTTTGCCCCAGCACCGGCACTGCTCCGCAGGTCTCCTTGCAAGCCATGTCCACGAGGTGTCCAACCTTTCCGATGCCCCAACTCGAAGCCCGGATCGAGAGATATGTGCAGAGAAGCAGACAACGTCCAAAGTAAGTCCAAGCTGCGATCTGCCGCGGGGCCGTCGAGGGGCCTGCCGCTGCAGGGCCTTGCGAATTGCGAAGCGAAGAGCAGTAGGGAAGTGTGCTGGTCAGTGCCGGTTGGTGTGTGTGTGTGTGGATGTATATATGTATGTAGGTACGTATGTACGTACGTGCGTTGTCTGTATGTGTGTGTGTTGAGTGGGAGGTAATTTGGAGGCAGTGGGATCCCCAAAGACCCCCAAGACGAGAAGCATCCCAATACTGCACAATGCGGGCCTGTCCAAAGGGACTTGAGCTCACGGAAAGTGTCCAAGGCCTTGGTGACTGCGCGCTCTGGGCACCGTGGCTTCAGGGAGCTGCGCTTCGCCATAAGCCTGGGTCGCCTGAGTGTCTCAGACTTGGGCATCCTTAAAATTCTGCGTCTTCAGCGCCGTCTTGATCAGCACAATGGAGGTGCGAGTGGTCAGTGGCACCTACAAAGGCAGCATCGCGGAAGCGGCGCATCTGTCTGCGGCCCCCCAGAGTCACTGAACACAAGTTTCCGGCCTGGGCAGCCTTTGCCTGCGCGACCACGAGGTCCACCAGCTCGAAGTTACGCATCCTGCATGGTTCATGATGGTTCATTTGGTACCCTCCGAAGCTAGTCCTAGTGGAGATGTCATCTGCCGTGAGATGACGAGCAAGCGGGCGCCGCACGTGAAGTGCATGTTGGTGAGGATCTCGTAGCTGCGGCTGTCCAAGACAAATCCTTCGCGAGAGGGCTTGGTGGGGCGGGGTCTAGATATATCGCAGGTTGTGTCTGAGAATTGAAATAGAATATGAAAAAGTGTATCTATTTACTTATATTCATATAATATGTGATATTTACTATATGTTATATACTCTATATATATATAGAGAGAGAGAGAGAGTGAGAGTCTTATATAATAGAATATATATATATATATATATACATATATATAGATAGATAGATAGATAGATAGATCGATCGATAGCATCTCTTTTCATATTTTATACTGCCCAGATACAGTTTTTGGCTTAACTGGGGCCCCCACCTGTCGATGGCAGAGCCACAAGGAGACGCTCGACGAAGTCAGAGTCATGACCTGAGGCTGGGGGAAGCTGGTTTGGGGGTTAGGGTTTAGGGTTTAAGGTTTAGGGTTTAGGGTTTAGGGTTTAGGATCTAGACTCACGGATGCTCGCGAACGACCTCTGAAACGAAGCTCCGGACGCTTGGCCAACGACTCCAGCAAGTCCTTGTCGTTCTGGGTTTGTGGAGCGTTCTGGGTTGGGAGCACGCGTTCCCTGGCACCGTTGTACTGAGCTAGCAGCATTGACCACACCGCTGTTGTTTGAACCTGAAGCCGGATGAGGGCCCCTTAGCTGGCCTTCCTTGACTCCCCTGACCAAAGAAAGGGAGGCTAGGAGGGCGGCCTTTCCGATTCAGGTAGTTGCACGTCTCTCCTCAGCTTCACTGCTCTCGGAATACGGTCGCCCAGGTTTGGCTTATGCAGCCCAGGTTCGCAAAATGTACTCCCCATCCTCCCAGGCTCTCTGAATGTTGCAGGCCGCTGTGACAGGCGGCTTCGCAAAAAAATGGTCCAAATTTGACATCTACAACCAAGACTGGCACAGTACAGGGCGCGTTGTTGGCTTACTCCGGTGGCCTTCTTGCACTTCTGCATGGCTTCCACGACGCTTGCCTCACACCGTCGTGTACAGCCACACACCCCTGGCTGAGGGTTGAGGGTTAGGGTTTAGGGTTTAGGGTTTCGGGTTTCCCTGACGGAATTGGGATAAAGTAAAAACCCGGCCATGCTCAGGCGCTCACCAAGGGGACGGAAATGGAATAGTCGTTGAACTTCTTCATAGCGGCCCATGCAGCCAGGACCTTCGTCTGGAGGCGTTATAGCACTTATCCAAACCCCACCAAGCCCTACGCCTGAAGTGTGTGTAAACTCTAACCTTTAAACCCCCTTAGACCCCCAAACCACCCGCGAATTCCACAAAAGAACTGATTGGGGATCTAAAGATTGCACCAACGACAGGCCCATCATTCCAGCTTGCCCCCTTGGGACCTATTGGGGGACCGGGGGACCTCTTGGCTCAAAGCATGGGAGCGATGCTTCACGATGCTCCCAGCAGGGCTTGCCATGTCTTAAGGGGTGGGTGGTAGCCAACTGGAAAACCTGAAGCCCTTCACAATTCACGAGAGCACCCATGTTCATAGGGTCAGTTTGCGAAAAATCTGACCAAAAACTCGTTCCCTGAATCCTGGCGCCCGGCCTGCTTGCATTGATTGTTTCGAACGGCTTCCGCCAGCGCAGCCTCAACATCCTCAGCAGTACAGTAAGTAACCCCCCCCAAGGTTGCGGGCTCAGGACATCAGAGGGTACAGCTTCAGACCCTTTTCGTGTTTTCGAAGGGGGACCCGAAGGCTGCACGCCCTCGAGTCTCGACTGAGGCCCCCGCCTTCGCAGAGGTGAAGTGCTGCGCCGCAACTGGGTAAGCCTCCTGACACTTAGTGTTTCGGGTGGCTTCGAGATCTGCTCTGGATATCCTTATTTGTGGAAGCACCTCTCAGGAACTGCATCAAAGTCACCTTGCCGCTCTTGTGCTTCGTCTTCTGAGGAGTGGAATTGCCAAACAGCAAGAAGTGGGCCTCGGATGCGACTGCACATGGCCCGGATTGGGAAGGGAATGGAGCAGACCTCAGGGCACCCTGCCAGTAGAGCTGCCAGGAACAAGGTCAGCTCAAGGCGGGCGGACACGAGGAAAGTCCATGCCTCAAGCCACTAAGATGAAAAGATGCACAGCTCCTGCGTAGACCTGAGATTCCGAATTGCAGATGCCCCGCCTGAGAGAAGAAGTCTCCCTCCACGGCCACAGACCTTGTCGCCACCACAGAGCTACAGCCACTTCACTGGCGTATGTTCGCCAAAGACTCTGAGCACGCCACATGTTGCTTGTATATGAACTCGAGTTCATTGCTCAGGTGCAGTGTACGCTGAGTATCAACCTCCAATCCAATTCGCACGTAGGAGACAATTCAACCCCCCGCAAACTCACTCGAACAGTCGGAATCAGGCAGGCGGGCGGAGAACAGCAGACAAATGAAACAGGCTTCAGAATCCCCGGAGTACAAAACCGAACCTCATCAAAGCATATGCATGCGATATATATATATATATATATATATCATGTGCTTATTCATTTTGATTCATTTAGTTTTTTTTCTGTATTTATAGGCTGCCTGGCCATGGGCATTGGCAAGCACGTGACCCATGAACCCCGAAGACCTAACACCCATAAACTGAGCTACAACCCTATAAGCTTCAATAAGCACCACAAGGATCGTTGCAGCCACTGCATGCGACGCAGTGGAGCTGGGCAGTAGCTGTCGAAATTCTGACAGTGCCGCAGCCCTGTTTTTTTTTCTGCGACGTTGCGACTTTGAAGTTGGCTGTGTCTTGCAGTCTGTTTGCCCGTGCCTTTCTGAGCGAAGAGTGGCTTCATGTCCCAACACTACATGCCATGCCGCTCTCCACTGGAGCTGCAAAACCCCTAAGCCCTTAGCTTCAAAGCCCACGCCTCCGCAGAAGCGGTGGCGAAGATGCAATAGTACAGAGTGGCCTCGCACACAGAAGCAAAGGGATCCCCAAAAGACGCTTTTCAAGTCAAGGTCCCATGTCTTGATGCCAAAGATCATGCCCAACAAAAAGCAACCTCCCGAATTTCTGGTACGCTCCAGTGCTCACAGTGAGCAGTCAGAGCCTCTCTCTGTGCAAACCCAACCCAAGATCACACTGGACCCCAACCCCTGCCCGGCCCCTAAACCAACCAAAGCCTCAAAAAGGATCACCATAATCGCAGTCACAACAACTGTATATGCCACATATCTATATATATATATAATGATATATTCATTTTCTTTCTTTATTTATTTATGCATTTATTTAACATATACATATATACACATACATACATACATACATACATACATACATACATACATACATACATACATACATACATACATACATACATACATACATACATACATACATACATACATACATACATACATGCATGCATGCATGCATGCATACATACATACATACATACATATATATATATATACGTACATATACATATATCCATACATATATATATATATATATATATACATATATATATATACATATATATATATATATGTGCCACCAAAACACAATGGTACCTCCACATGTCTGTGCCTGTGCATCTCTGCGCACCTTCCTCCAACCTGAGGCCCGAGCTCTGCGCGTAAGTGTTGCCGCCAACTCGGTGGGTGACAGGCAGCTTCGAGCCAAAATGGCAGCAGAGGTCGAGGCATCTCGGGGCGTACTCTGCGCTGTTTGAGGCAGTTAAGAGGTTTGGGGCCCAAGGCTTGGCGGGCTCAGGGCTCCCAGTGTTGCTCCGGTTCTTCGTTGGTCTTCCGTCCACGCCTAGGGAACCTCAAGACTCAACGACCCTAAACCCTAAACGCTACAACTGCGCAAGGCCCCAGGGTCAGAGGCTCCTCCAGAAATGATCGGCTCTGCTGCTCCAGCTCCGCAACGTCACGACGAACCTCCAAGTGCCAAAAAGATGGCTGACTCAGGAACCCAAAGCACTGATAAAAGATCATGTATATAGATACATCTATACTGCACGTACCATGCACATAACACACAGAATATCGAAACATATAGTATTCATACGTACAATATATATATATATATATATATGCTAATATAGATGGAGTTCAACAGGCCTGCTCTTGCTCCTCGTTGATGCGCTGGCTCTCTGTCGCCAGCTTCTCGCTCTCCTGGCAACAGGAAGCCCCAGAAGCCCCCCTAAACCCTAAACCGCTTCACGGACGAACCCCCTCCCCTCCCCCCCAAACCTTAAACTACCCGCTACCCTAAACCCCAAACCCTGAACCCTAAACCCTAAACCCTAAACCCCAAAACCTTCGAAACATCCCTTGCAGGTGCCTCTGCCTTCTTGCCCAAGAGCTCCTCCAGCTCCTCTCACGGGAGACTTTGCAAAGGTTTTCGGAGCTTTGCAAGGGGGTTTTGAGGGGCTTGGAAGCGGAGGTAGGAAGCAAATCCCCCCTCCGAAAAGCAATAAACTCTAGAATCCACGGTCGGCAGCCTTGATCCGCTGTTCGGAGATGATCCGTTGGTCCGCGGCCGACGAGAAGGCGAATTTCTGCACGAGAGCTCTGAAGGTCGGTGGTGAACACTATAGATAATATAATGTAGTGAAATACAATAGAATACTATAATCTTTTCTTGCAAAACAAGATGCATATTATCCAAAATATGTTGTGGGCTTGCTCTTTTAGAGCAGGAACTTCAGCAGCCGGGCGCGTGGCTGTGATGTCACGAATCTGCCTGCCCGTGTCATTGGATCATCTGTCGAATCCTACTGTGGTCCGATCAGCCATGCCAACAGCAGCATACAGCAGCCATGCCTCTACTGCTTGCTGGCAGGATCTCTTTCAGTTGTTCTCAGCAAGAGATTCACACTGTTCGTGCGACAAGGCTATCCGAAGAATAGAAAAATCCACGCATAAGCATGGCAGGCCTGCTACGACTCAATTAGATGACTTTCCAAAAATGGTGACACTCGACATTGGGTCCAAAGGTCAAGCCAGCTTCAGTGCGCTTTGTCCCCCTGTGAACTCTCGTCTGGTGCCGCACAATGGCACAGACGCTGGCCAGCACAATGGACAGTGTTGCAGTCCTTGTTTAAGGTGCTGCAAGCCTACTTCCGCGACCTGCTTTGACGTGGCGAGATGGGCTTAGTTGACGAGCCAAGAGATACATATGCTGCAGGCCAAACATAAAGCATCTTAACACACTCAGTTCCACTCCACCACAGTCTCCTTTGCAAAGCAGGCTCAGCCTACGCACTACAGCATGACAGCTCTTGCAACACACAAGTAGGATCCTCGAACATCTTGCTTCAGAGCAAAAAGCGGGCTGTCTTGAATCTAACCATGCACAGAGGCACGTTGCCCATCTGTTTAGACTATTTCTCACACATGTCTCGGTGGACAGGTGTCAAAGCGCGAAGCTGCAAAGGCAATCGAACAATGCTTGACTCCTCGGCAACTACTGGATGCGTTTTCCTTTGCAGCAGCGCGCCCGAATGAATTCACAAGCAATGTTCTCAGACAGGAAACGGCCCGAAGAAGCTGCGACGGTGCCATCTGCTTCGCAATGACTGCGTAACAGCCAGAGCCTTGTAGCTGCAGCGCATCTCTGGTTGCAATCCTCCAAGATGATTCGCGCGGGCCGTGCTTTGGACCCAAAGGAAAGCCGTTGAAACCACTCGCAACCTACTTGGTAGGCTCTTCCGTAGCAGGCTCCATATTGGAGCTCAGGCGCCTGGCAGCCACTGCAATGTAGGCTCGCCAACTGACACGCTACAATGATTGTGGCTGGCCCATCTGAGTCAGGGTCAGAGCGCTCCGCTTCACAGATGTCATGCTACGCCTGCAAGTGGCAGGAGGCGAAGGCGAGAAGCAAGCAAGACCGCTCCGTGCCTGCTTGCAGGCAAACTTCTTGCACCAGCCCTCCGCAAACTTTGCGAGCCCAACAATGGAGGTAGTGTGTCCTGGATGGGCAGCAGGAACCGATGCAGGTGAAAGAGCTGCAGTCAGTATGCTACAGTATGCTGATTTCCAGGCCTTCTTTTCAGTCCGCGCCGGTGACAGCATCAACTCCTCGGCTTACTCCGTCTCCATCGCAGTAACGTCAGACTTCTGCGACGTGTGTCATGCAGCGAATTCTCCCTGATCCAACAAGGAACGCTCAGACATTGATAAACGCAACCTATGGCAGCAGTAGCTGTATCGAAGCAGTTGTAATAATAATGGTCAGAGTAGTGCCCCCAAGTGTGCAGCCGAGGAACACCACGCCTGCGACAGGTTCGAATCAGTGTAGAACACGTGACCCGCCTAGCCTTGACACCTCATGGTAGCTCATGGGCCCTTTTCTTTTGGGATGTACACGTCCCATTAAGGACTGTTAGAGTATATGGGGGGACATCCCCATCCACACCCCCTGCTGGCCTCTTCAGGGCCGATGCGCTGGTGCACCGCTTGATGACCGTCGGCGTGGTGATGAAAGAACGGGCCAGTGGCTCCTTGAAGCCCAACGGGGCTCACCATGGGTCAGGGCCCAAGTGCTCAAAAAAGACCCTGCTTGTTCAGGGTGTAGGATTCGAATTTCGGGTCTACTCTGGACTGGAAGTTTGCCCCATCCTGCGGCGGCAGCACATCGTAAACCTGGCAGGCGGGGAAACGGGGGGGAAACGCGGGCAAACGCGGGGCAGTGCTTCGGGTTACTGTCGGCTCATGGCCGCTTGCGAACGGCTGGGCTCATGCGCCTGCCACGCCGACACTTTGGCCCAGGTACAGGAGACCAGGACAGAGCGCACCAACTTCAGCCTGCCGAGTTTGGGGAGTTGTGTTGGGAGATATGAAGAGGCGCCGCACACGCGAAGACGAAAGTGCTCCTACCAACTGACTGACTCCACAGCAACTGCTTGCCCACGAGAAACTGTGTTGGAAGGTTTTGTGTTGTGCAGAGCTTGTGTGATGTGCAGATGTCCAGAACAGAGGGTTGGATATGGCAGGGGAATCTCGAACCGGTGAGTCACATTCAGCTGGTCGTGTGAAGTCACATGTGCACTTGCCTTGAATGCAGAAGTGGAGTGATGCTCACCAAACGCCTGGCTCAGCATCACAGCCGCGCGCTGTCAGTGTATCATGCTCTGCTACTGTGCCGAGTCCTGAAGGAGGGGCAACGCAGAAGGCAATTGACCGTCCGGCTTTGGACTCCCATGTCCATGCAGAGGTTGGTCAGGACAGCGACCTGAACACCACGATACCAAGCAATGCAAGCTTCGGCCCTGGCAACACACAAGTGAAACAAAAACAACGCCGCAAAAATCACTGTATGCGAAGCTGAGCATCAGTTGGATCCAGGTAGCGGTGCCTGGCAGCAACGACCACTTCCACTTGCACCACGACCACCACGACCACCACGACCACCACGACCACCACGACCACCACGACCACCACGACCACCAACACCACCACCACCACCACGACCACGACTACGACATGACTACGACACGACTACGACTATGATGATGATGATGATGATGACGACGACGACGACGCCTACTCCCTCTCCCACTCCACTCCCACTCCCACTCCTACGTGCTGCTACCATGCTGCACCCCTGCTACTACAGCTCTCCGCCAGCTCTCCGCCAGCTCTCCGCCAGCTCTCCGCCAGCTCTCCGCTCTCCCTGGCCTGCTGATGTCGGCCAGCCTTGAGGTGCTAGGAGACATGGAAAAGAAAAAGCAGGGCTAAGGTTTAGGGTGTTTAGGGCGTTTAGGGCGCTTAGGGCGTTCGGGTTTGTTGCGTCCCTACTCTAACAGAGCCTCCGATTCATTACAGTATCTATCGTTCACTATCATTCATTGCCTATCCTAAACCCCTAAGCCCCTAAACCCCTAAACCCCTAAACCCCAAAACCCCTAAACCCCTAAACCCCTAAGCCCCAAACCCCTACACCCCTAAACCCAAGACCCTAACGTCATTCTGCGAGCCAGGAGCATGAACTTGTACTCCGTCGCTGAGGACTGGGACTTGCCCGCTTTCTTCTGGGAGTCAAGCTCCTACAAGCAGCCCGCGAGGCAGCCCACCGAAAGAGAGCAGCGTGCAGCAGCGTGCAGACAATATGATATAATCTAGTGCAGTATGGTAAAGAATAGAATGTAGTCAAGTACACCATGCAGTATACTTTATTCTCCACAGATTTTTGAACTTGTCATGTCCGCGTCCGCAGAGGAGTCCTCGTCCAGCGAGCTGCGCGCCCCCTCTGCCAGCAGAAAGCGGCGCTGGCCGACCTCTAGCCCCACGGAGCGCGAGGCATCGCCCCGTAAGGCCACGTAGAGGACCAGCTTCCCAACCCCACAGCCCAGATCATAGAAGACATCGCCTTGCCCAAGCTCCAGGGCGCTATACAGAGGCTGCATGCCTTGGTATGTGATCTCGCCATACTGCAGATTCCCCGGGTCGATGTTCTGATCCGTGCTGTCAGACCCGAAGCCAGTGTTGTTCTTTGCAAAAACCTTCTGGAGGCACGCTACCGCTTCCGCATGGCAGACTCCCGCATGTCCCGCTTCCCTCGTCTTCGAGGGCATCTATGGATCGTGGCTTCCCAGCTCACGTGCGGGGCGACATGTCAAAGTCTAGGTCGAGAAGTCTTATATCCAATCTGAAGATGCTGACGGATGTGCGCTTTGCTGTTGTACGTGACCCACATCTAGAACGCAGATAGATGTGGCTCTAAAACTGCTCTCAGCTCATGTCACTTTCCGTCCATCTACACATGCTGCCACCTGCACAAACAACACGGATCGCGCAGGTCGAGACAACTCAAAATCACAGCACGCGATTCATACTTAACATCACGTCCGGGAGTATATACATATATGCAGATACCCAAAGTCGTGATAGGCATATATGCTAAGCATAAGATGGGCAACTAACGACGGGATCACCTGCATGCAGGTGCAACAGCCTGAAGACACCTCCTGTGAAGACGCTAAGCGACGCTTGGGTTCCTTGCCGAAGCCCCAGAACGCCAAACGAAACTACAGACGCCCCAGGTATGCACTTGGTCAACTTATGCCCTCTAAACCTGATTGAAGTGATGCAGACAAGGGGAATTAATGAGTGAAAGAGCATGAACTTTGTAGATACATAGACTCTATAGACATACGGCTTCATGTGAAGTAGGGTGTTTATTCCTCTTGTAGCCCCAAGATGACACCCACTGTAGACATTCGTCTCAGTCTACCCAGCGGGGCTGCGGCCGGCCTCTTCATCTCGTCGGCGGAAGCAAGGGCCTGGCAGGACCGCTGCTGAGATGTCATATGAGGTTAGGGCTGAAGTTGCTGCTATTGGTGATATATGTGTATATGTATATATGTACAATTATTCATTTATTTATTCATTTCTTTACTTTTTTTGAAGTTTTTCTATTTTTTCATATATGTATATGTACAACAAGAAGCCCCTACTTCAAATGACGTCCGAGGGATGTGTTCCTGCCTGCGCAAGCTGCCCCCGAAGGCCGAGATTCTCCTCTGGCATCGAGCCCGCCTCCAGGAACAAACCACAAACTCTCAAGTGATAATAAAAATAATGGTAATAAAAATAACCATAATAGTGATAATCAGAAGAAGAATAACAATTAGAATAATAATAATAATCGTAATCATAATGAAAGTAGTAACCGACCTACGTCAGGGAGCGCAGCTCAGCTCCGCAGCCTGGGCGTGGTGTAGCTCCGTCGAAAGGACCGCGACATCGATGGCGAGCCTCGGCAAGCACCAACTATGTAGGTTTAGGGTTTAGGGTTTAGAGTATAGGGTTTAGGGTTTCGGGTTTAGGGTTTAGGGCTTAGGGTTTAGGGTTTTGTTTTAATAGCCCTGCACGCGGTTGTGCTTGCGCGCGCTTTGGCGCCTGCTCTTTTTTTCAGGCTTCGCACTATACGACTAGGGTTTAGGGTTTAGGGTTTAGGGTTTAGGGTTTAGGGTTTAGGGTTTAGGGTTTAGGGTTTAGGGTTTAGGGTTTAGATGGGTTTAGGGTTTAGATGGGTTTAGGGTTTAGATGGGTTTAGGGTTTAGATGGGTTTAGGGTTTAGATGGGTTTAGGGTTTACATGGGTTTAGGGTTTATGGGTCTAGGGTTTAGGGTTTAGGGTTCAGGGTTTAGGGTTTCGGGTTTAGGGTTTTTTGTAATAGCCCTGCACGCGGCTGTGCTTGCGCGCGCTTGGTGCCTGCTCTTTCAGGCTTCGCACTACACGACTAGGGTTTAGGGTTTAGGGTTTAGAGCTTAGGGCTTAGGGTTTAGGGTTTAGGGTTTAGGGTTTAGGGTTTAGGGTTTAGGGTTTAGGGTTTAGGGTATAACGTGAGATGATAACTTTCGCAACGGCGTTTCAACGCTGAATTCAACTCAATTCGTGCCAAACCACTTGAAGGCCAGCTGATATTAAAACATGAATCAAGAGAAATAGCCCCCAAGTTTCAGCCAGGGGCGATAGACGCTAGCTTCTTGTTGCTGTGGTGTGTGATTACATAACCCGCCCCCAATTCGATTCACCCCCACCGCCCTTCTGAAAAGAAAATTGCCCCTCCCCCTTCCCCTAATTCCCCCCCCCCTCCCGCCCCCCTCCCCCCCATCAGCATCCAGCAATGCACGAAACGCTCATGGCAGATGTCAGCGGTATGGGTGGTCATGTGTTGGCGGCACGCCAACTGCCGATGTCTGTAAGCTCTGTAAGCTAGCCATGTGCAGCACGACCCAGACCCAGACTCAGGTGCTGTGGAATCCTCTAGGACCGGGGCTGCTGTGCATCCTGGCGCATGGAGCCCTCCATGTGGCGAGCCTGGCATCAAAAAGCTTCTGGAATGGAAAGAACAGCGAAGGAAGAATGTGCTCGAGAAAGCCTCAATGCCCCCAAACAGCTTCCGGGGTACCCCCTGTTCTCGGAAACCCCCATGTATTTGATTTTCCGCCTTCTCCCTCAGTCGCTCCAGGGCCGTCTCCAGGGAGCTGATTTTTGCGTCCTTGTCAAGCAGCTTGAGAGGGCTAGAGTTTAGGGTTTAGTGTTTAGGGTTTAGGTTTTGGGGTTTAGGTGCTATTGCTTTCAGGGTTTAGGGTTTAGGGTTAGGGTTTAGGGTTAGGGTTTAGGATTTGGGGGGGAGGGAGACATGGCGAAGTCCTTGGCTTTGATTTTCTCCTTGTACCTGCGCCCACAGCTGATGACTTGTTCAAAGCGAGGCCATTGGCAGGGTCCTTGATTAGCAGAAGTCCCGAAGAAGGGGGCTCCAAAACTTAGAACAACCCCCAACCTACACCTCTCCCACATGACTCTGACCATATTCGGGAACTCGGGAACCTGATCTTGGACTTGTCGTGCAAGGCATCCTCAGAGAACTTGTCGACCAGCAGTCTGTCCAGCCTCAGGCAGGCTTGAAATCTTCTTTGTGATGGCTCAGGGTCGAAGGTTTCAGGGCTTCAACGGACTTCGGATCTTCACAGGGGTGTGTAGGGCTTAACCGCTTTAAGGGCTTCAGGGGGTTGTGGGGGGGGGGCGGGGTTGAGGGATCCAGGCGCCAGGCTGGCTGGACAGCTCCCGGTTGCGATCCCTGAGCTCCAGCACCTCGGCACGGAAAGAATCCCACCAGTAAACAAATGCCAAAAGAAGCCCGCAACCTCCAACTCGATGCAGCCCATAGCGACCCCACCCCCCCCCACCCACGCCAACCCCGAACACAACAAGACAGAAGCAAAACAAGTCAAAACAGCCGCCGCCTGCTGCTTGTCCCGCTCGTCCACAGCAGGCGCGGAGAGGGCCGGGACCTGCGGGATGCGAAAAGCTTCTTTGAAACATCGAAGCTTCTTTAAAAGACATCGAAGAACAGGAGGTTTAGGGTTTTAGGTTTGAGGGTTCAGGGTTCAGGGGTCAGGGCTTAGGGAGATTCCGTGCCTCTGGTAGCGACGGCAGAGATAGACCAAGGCACGTGTGGGCCGGCTGCAGGCCCCTCGGCTCCTGGAAAGTCGTGGCACTCTGGCAGTTGCAATAGAAGCAGTTTAGGGTTTAGGGTTAGGGTTTAGGGCTCAGGTAAGATAAACGCAAACCTTCCTTCCTTCTAACAGGCCTACTTCAGGCCGTCACGTACCCCTCATTTTGCAACCCCCAAGTAGACTTGGTGGCATCGGGGTGTGCTTCGTGGTGCATCCATCGTGTCCTTCACATCGGGAGGAGGCCTCAGCTTCTTTTTTGGCCAAGCTTCTGACGCAGCATCGACCTTTCGCCTACTCTACCTCCTATCAGCCTCCTAAATTCATGTGTGTAGATATATATATATATATGTATATATTTCTATACACACACATATTTCGAATACCTATGAGCCGATTCTAATGTACCTCCTATGATGTACCGATACGAATATACCTCCCATGTACCTGCTCTATTCCCGGCAGCTCGTTAAGATCCAGGCGCAGGCAACATCGATGGCGGAGCTATCCTGCAACCGCGAGGACGGATTCAGCAGTCGCTGCGACGGACCCTAACGCTAACTCCTTGAAACCCTAAACCCTAAAAGCCCCAAAGCCCCAAAACTCCAAAACTCCAAGCACCTCAACCCTGAAACCCTGAGATTCTTCACCTTGGAGCCAGTGGTGCCCTCGGCGAGGCTCTGGGAGAGGCGCGCCCTCTGCCCTCGGCTCAGGGCTCTAGGGTTAGGGTTTATAGGGTTTAGAGGGCTTATGGGGTTTGTTTCTACCAGTTTGCTTCATGTGGTAAACTGCAGGCAAGACGCAGATGGTGAGTCCACTTGAGGGGGTGGAACCAGACTGCGGAGACTTGGCGGCCTGGCGGAAAAGACCGCCCTCCTTGAGCCTGATTGTTCCCTGACTGAACTACTGTACTGATGCGATCTGATGCGCGCTGCACGCTGTGACCTCGCCAAAGGGGATGTTGCCGCCGGCGACCCTGGTACCTGCAGCGCCTCAGGTCATATTGTCGGACTGACAGAGCCCTTCTTCTAAAGATAGACAACCTCTTGAGCCTTGGGCGGGCATCGGCGGGCGCCGCGGCACTTGAGGGGATAGCGACCGAGCTGGCGCCTCGAGTGGCATCGGCTTCTCGGGGCCCCACAGGAAGAAGACCACCTCTCTCTAAACCCTGTGGACTGTGGAGCCCATTAACGGCTGCTTGCGGTGGGGAACCGGATGGTGCCTTGGGGCTTTGGGGCTTTGGATTCCTGAACTTGCCGCACACTTTCAGCCTTCGACTGTTTTGTGCTTGGGCTCGGGCGCCATCATCTTTCTGGAATACCTGCAGAGACAAGCCCACCAGAAACTTCATGTCATGAAGCACCGGTGCATCGGGTGCCTCCAGGGGCAGGACCGTCATGCGTCCCCGGAGTCGACCGCCGCCCCCTGCCCGGCGCTGGGACTGCTGCCTGCGCTGGGAAACCATGGGGAGAACATTTCTCTTCCACAGAAGCCCCGCAAAGAGAGGGACCAGGTCCTGCTGCGGACACCCCGTCGTGCTCCGGGAGAGGTCGAGGCCTGGTTGTCACACGTCCCCACCGCACGTCTTGTGAGAGGAGGTACCCCAAACCCTAAACCCTAAACCCTAAACCCTAAACCCTAAACCCTAAACCCTAAACCCTAACCCTCGATTCTTCCAAACCTCTCGCCTTGCGAACCTTGCCCCCCGGCGCCGACAGCGCTCGCTGCAGTTGTTCCAAGTCGGCAGCCTTCAGAATCTCGAGTACTAGTAGTAGTAATAATAATAAGAGTATGATAATAGTAGTAATAGCAATAGTAACAATAACAATAACAATAATAATAATAATAATAATAATAATGAAAATAATAATAATAGTAATAATAATAATAATAATAATAATATAATAGTAATCCTAGTAATAATAATAGTAATACTAGTAATAATAGTAGTAACAATAGTAGTATAAGCACAATGCCGCACTCCGGGCCTTCTGCTCCAAGGCCTTTGCTTCCCAGGAATCTTCCCGAGCACTGCGCATCTGTATCTCAGCGAGCCGCGGTGTGGTTTAGGGTTTAGGGTTTAGGGTTTAGGGTTTAGGGTTTAGGGTTTAGGGTTTAGGGTTCAGGGTTCAGGGTTTAGGGTTTAGGGTTTAGGGTTTAGGGTTTAGGGGTTAGGGTTTAGGGTTTACGGTCTACGGTTTAGGGTTTAGGGTTTAGGGTTTAGGGTTTAGGGTTTAGGGTTTAGGGTTTAGGGTTTAGGGTTTAGGGTTTAGGGTTTCGGTTCAGGGTTCGGGGCTCACGGTCCATTGCCCTCTCTTGCCCTCCGCATCCCAAACAGAACATGATCGGGGGAGGCCTGCAGCTTCTGGAGTCGGGACTTCATCTCGGCCTGCGTCCTCATTTGCAGCAGTTTCAAGCTTCAGAGACTGTAGGGTGGGGTTTAATTGGGGTCAGCCCTTTCAAATCTTATTCATAGGGTTTTGGGAGTTTAAGGCTCAGGGTGTTTAGGGTTGTTGAGGGTTCAGGGAGAGCTTTGCGGATGTCGGATTTCGGGCTACAGGTTCTGGCTTGTAGGATACAGGGCTTCTCGCTGAATGAATGGTGTCCGCGGCTGTGGCCTGCGAAGCTGAAGGTTCTCCTCCTGCAGGTCATCTGTGGCCTCGCAAAGAACTCCAGCAAGGTGTTGGGTCTGGGGCTTGCGGCCAATTAAAACGGCACCTTGTTCTGAAAAACTCAGCCACAGGCGCGGTCCTCGATAATGTTGGTGTTCACCTGCACCCGTCAGAAGCTCGCAAAGGGAAAATCTAGGGTATGAAGGATATGTCTCTACATTGCGCAACCCTGGTTCTTCAACTTGATGCGACACACGGCTTACAAGGCAAAGGCAGAGAAATCTCATGTGGGTTCTACCTGGATGCTGTTTTGACAGTCATCCTGCGGCACCCTACAACAGTCCCGATCCTGCTAATATCAGCTAACTGCCATGCGATGGCCAGCCAACAAGCGACCAAGCTCGCCAAGACTCGCTCCTCGTACACACTCCATGCTGCCGTTGCAAAACAACTCCTCTGTGCGGTCAGAGAAATCTCATGTGGGTTGAAATTTCCTCACACAGCATTCCTGCTGCAAGGATCCGTTTTCGATGGTCATCCTGCGGCACGCTGCAACAGTGCTGTTCCTGACATCACCAGCCTTCCGTGCGATGGCCAGCTAACAAGCGACCAACCTATCCAAGACTCGTTCCTCACAAACACTCCATGCTGCCGTTGCAAAACAACTCCTCTGTGCGGTCAGAGAAATCTCATGTGGTTGGTTATTTCCTCACACAGCATTCCTGCTGCAAGGATCCGTTTTCGATGGTCATCCTGCGGCACGCTGCAACAGTGCTGTTCCTGACATCACCAACCTTCCGTGCGATGGCCAGCTAACAAGCGACCAACCTATCCAAGACTCGTTCCTCACAAACACTCCATGCTGCCGTTGCAAAACAACTCCTCTGTGCGGTCAGAGAAATCTCATGTGGTTGGTTATTTCCTCATACAGCATTCCTGCTGCAAGGATCCGTTTTCGATGGTCATCCTGCGGCACGCTGCAACAGTGCTGTTCCTGACATCACCAACCTTCCGTGCGATGGCCAGCCAACAAGCGACCAACCTATCCAAGACTCGCTCCTAATACACACTCCATGCTACCGTTGCACGACAACTCCTCTGTGCGGTCAGAGAAATCTCATGTGGGTTGAAATTTCCTCACACAGCATTCCTGCTGCAAGGATCCGTTTTCGATGGTCATCCTGCGGCACGCTGCAACAGTGCTGTTCCTGATATCACCAACCTTCCGTGCGATGGCCAGCCAACAAGCGACCAACCTATCCAAGACTCGTTCCTCACAAACACTCCATGCTACCGTTGCAAAACAACTCCTCTGTGCGGTCAGAGAAATCTCATGTGGGTTGAAATTTCCTCATACAGCATTCCTGCTGCAAGGATCCGTTTTCGATGGTCATCCTGCGGCACGCTGTAACAGTGCTGTTCCTGACATTACCAACCTTCCGTCCGATGGCCAGCCAACAAGCGACCAACCTATCCAAGACTCGTTCCTCACAAACACTCCATGCTACCGTTGCACGACAACTCCTCTGTGCGGTCAGAGAAATCTCATGTGGTTGGTTATTTCCTCATACAGCATTCCTGCTGCAAGGATCCGTTTTCGATGGTCATCCTGCGGCACGCTGCAACAGTGCTGTTCCTGACATCACCAACCTTCCGTGCGATGGCCAGCCAACAAGCGACCAAGCTCGCCAAGACTCGCTCCTAATACACACTCCATGCTACCGTTGCAAAACAACTCCTCTGTGCGGTCAGAGAAATCTCATGTGGTTGGTTATTTCCTCACACGGTATTCCTGCTGCAAGGATCCGTTTTCGATGGTCATCCTGCGGCACGCTGCAACAGTGCTGTTCCTGACATCACCAACCTTCCGTGCGATGGCCAGCCAACACGCGACCAAGCTATCCAAGACTCGTTCCTCACAAATACTCCATGCTGCCGTTGCAAAACAACTCCTCCGTGCGGTCAGAGAAATCTCATGTGGTTGTTTATTTCCTCACACAGCATTCCTGCTGCAAGGATCCGTTTTCGATGGTCATCCTGCGGCACGCTGCAACAGTGCTGTTCCTGACATCACCAACCTTCCGTGCGATGGCCAGCCAA